GCTTTACTTTCTCAGCGTTTGCTCCTTTGATTGTCTCATCTTGCTGACGTTATCCTAACGTTGACCGTCCACCCAGTTGTCCTATCTCTATGGTACTCCCTCTGTTTCTAAATAAGTGTTACTTTAACCTTTTAATTTTGTTTTAAAAAAGTGTCATTCTACAATCCCAATGTAATTTTGTACATTAAATCTATTTTTTACCCTTTTGAATAACCAATAGTATTTTAGTTAAATTATTTTCATTTAATTAAACATACATTAAATAGGGATATATTAGTCTATTATACAATTTTCTTAATTTATGTGCAAAGAGTCAAAATGACACTTATTTAAAAACAGAGGGAGTATTTTATAGTATTTGTTAATCACAATATTTTCTGATAATTAATGACAACTCTCCTTTAAAAAAAAAACTACAAAACCTTGGTATATTATCATAGTGTGAAAATTTTATCGTTTTATTTTCTCTACTATATATTCAGATGTTTTCTATATAAATTTTAAGAAATCAAATGAATTTCAACTACTTAAAATTGTGTATGTAAGCTAGGGATAATATATTTTTCGATCTCATACTATTTCTGACATATTATATTTTCTAAAAACAGATAAATTCTAAGATAAAAGTGATTTTTATTACAAGGTATATTTCTAAACTAAATAATGAGATTTGTTTTTTCTAAACATATGCACATATATAAGTGAATGTTATTTTAAAAATATAGAGGAAAATAACAATATCTAGAAAGATGTGAATTGCAGAATTTGTTTATAATAACATTTGAAGTTCGATATAAAACGAACTGATGATATTCTAAGAAAAATCATCACTAACAAAAACAAAATTGAAAAATTTAGCATTTCTTTAATTAGACCCATTTGATATAACAACCATTATAACGTGAAGAACGAGAATGAAGGATGTTTAATGTCATACTGTCATGTACAATATACATTCTAGGTTGGTGATACAAAGTTGCTCAAAAACAAAAGGTTGGTGATACAAATAATATTTTATATCTAGAAACAACAAAGATAATTAAGAAAAAGTATTCACGTTACTACAACAACAAGAAAAGAAAAGTCTTTTAAAAAAAGTTGCAACATGTTGTTGTAAAGTGAATGGATACGTATAGTAAAAAGATTAAGCGTGACAAACATGGGCATCTACCCCTTTGTTTTCTTCCACTTCAAACAGTCAACGCATCCTCTACTATTTCTTCTGTTTGTGCTGTCTTTGGAATTTGAATTTAAATATATAATTTAGATACATGCATAAAAAGGTGATATCAGATCACGAGATTGTCTGTTATGCTTGGTTCTTAATTGATTTTACAAAGTTTCGAATATTTAAGTTTGGATTCCACTAATAATAATGGTACTTGTTATTATCTATGTTTTACAAGGAGTGTATAATGTTTTCACATATATTAAAAATCCCTTAAAATTAAGATTTCATCTACAGTTAATATATTAATATTTTTATCTGATAATAATATATCAGAATCAAAAAATTTAGTTATATTCAAAACTCTGCATTCAATAATATATTTTCAAAAATAAAAACAAAATATTGTTTGTTGAGGTCAGATATTTAATATTGTCAAGTAAATCATATTTTCTTCGACGCATATGCAACTCGATTCGTCCTAAAGTATTGAACGATGGTCAGACTGCATTATCCATATTTGTTGACTGATTAACATGCTTTTCTTTGGGTAAGGCCGTAAGGGTACAAGCTTGTCACATTGCTTTCATAGTTAGGTTTTTTTTTTTTTTGCCGTCTAACTTTAATTTTATTTAAAAGTCCAAACTTACAACATGGGCCAATATTAAAATATATTATAGAGCCCATGAAACAACAAAACCTTCCCAACCTAGCCCACTAAAGGCCCACACGACATACCCATTAATCGACACGTAATAAACACGTGGAACGATATTAGGGTTCAAAGGGGACAGGCTTTCATAGTTAGGTTTTGCAAGTTAGAGCACTCGTATTAAGAGTTTCTCAAATGATAAATATATAAATGAAATAAATTGAATAATGAAGGGAGATCCTGAAATGGGATTAGCTGTATCCTCTATGAGGTATTCCAACAAACATGCCGAGAATCTTCTGTTTACATGTCACCTTTTCATTGCTTTAAGTTTCTATTCTGTTTTAGAATTATTTGGACAACAACATGTTAATAAAAATTTATAGTATTTAATTTGGCTAGGGACCTTTAAGAGTCACCACTGATAATGCTATTTGTGGATCAAACTTCCCTTAAATTTGGGTTATTGAATTAAATAAGTTTTCTAGAACTAAGTCGGACATTGATAAAAGTACAAAAACTCACTTCCAAAAAGTATTTTAGGTAGAGTTCAGTTAGTGTTGGTTTTGCAATATAATTGTAGTGGAAAAGGACCGAAAATAGGGACTAGATTTTGTCTATAACACAAGACAAGACAAAATAATAGTGTATACTTGACCAAATTGTATGTAGGATCATTTCATAAGTTAAATGTGTGGTAAAAGTTGAAGTACGAGTATGATGTCTCATGGATTAATCTTTGAGGTTGCATAAATTTGGTTTTTGAATTATAAGTTGTTTTTCAGATTAAGAATCTACCAACATATCTTATAAATACGTTACTCAACAAATGTAATTATTGTTATTATTAATATTTTTTTTTTACCGCTCGAAGATTTACTGTTTTACAGTTTAGAATTTATGATATTTCATCCCTTCATGAAAGTAGAATTTTTTTTTTCTTTCACAAAAATAAAATTTGATATTTGAAAGGTACTTTGTATACTTTTAAAATGCACTAGGTGTTTTCTTGTATCATATACATCGATAAAATTCTAAATTTTAATTATATTTAAATAAAATATTGTTATAATTTTATGTTTTATTATATTTATACCAATATTTTAATATAAATATGATTGATTTACAATTTTATTTAAGTTATATTTAAAATTATAATTCAAATATATTTTCATTTATTTATTTGGATTAAGGTATATTAAATTAAAATATATGAAATAATATAAAAGAAAATAAAATTGATTTAAAAATTTTAGATATCAAAATGTAAAACTAAACTGAATTCATACAATTTTCAAATTCCAAAAAGAAACAAATAATATTGCGATTAAAAATTTAATTCGTTTTAAAAAGATCATATAAAATTTTGCAAATCTTGTTTTATAATAATTTTATATAATTATAAAAACATAATTAAATAATATTTCAAAATTTGTAAAATAGATATTTATATTTCTATCATTATAATATTTATGACTTATTCAAATATACTTACTTTATTGATGATCTATGAGTTATTTTCATATTCTCAAAAGTTATCAAAAATTCAATTCAACATTAAACGTAGTTGTCCATTCATTTTTAACCATATGTTATGTTTGCAATTTTCTAATATGTCATGTAATATTTTTGGTGAAAATGAATGGAGAGATGATATGTGTAAAATCACTACACAAATAAGTCTAAGAGATTACTCATTGATTTTTATTTTCGAATGATTTTTTTACACTATTATTTTCTAAAGCTACATTTCATGATTTAAGGTTTGGGAATCTAAAGTTTTGCTTTTGGGTGTAGTGTTGTTATAGGGTTGAATGTGCTGATTATTTCATTGGTTTTTATTTTCTAAACTTACTTTTCCTTTATTAAAATGGGCCGGCCATTGAGTATTTTGGGCTTCTGTTTTCTCTATTGAGTAGTAACAAATCAAGATGAGTACAGCTGTGTCTTTGCCCACTATTCTACCTATTCAACCTTTCCCCTTCTCAGGAACATGATGCAGTCTGAACTCAGATGGTGTTGCACATTTCAATTCCTGTCTGTCTTCTCCCTCATGCTAGGGGGACTTCCTGATAATAATCATAACCTAGAGTAAGTCCCTATTACTTAGAAGATCTGGTAAGCATGTAGCCGAAACTCATTTAAAACAACGCTTCACTCTCATTGAATATGATTGTTCTGTAGATTAATAAAAGAAATATAAAATTTGTTGAATAACAATATAATCATCTTCGCTCTCCAGTGTCAACTTCTAACTATGAAATGGTCACTGTTTCATGTTGGCAACCATCTCTTTGGTTGCAAACTTTCAAACTTTTTAGAACCTAGTACCAATATTTTCATGATCAATAATCCCTAACGAGATCATGCCTGATAAGGCATTTCACTCACGTGCCTCACCGTTTTGGTGTTATGGTATTTTTACAAAGGATTGAATATAACCCAACAATTCAAAAGAATAATTGGGCCTTAAAACAACGAGGCCCAGTCAGTAGTACATGTCCGAACGTTTTTCTTGGGAGAGGCACTTTGTTTTTCAGTTTCTGAGACATGGCAGAAGAGGGGGAATAGAAAACTCGTGCGTAAATCAGCTTTTTACTTCTTTTGGTAATTTGCCTTTTCTCTTTCCCTTAAAAGTCTAAACACTTGAAGAAGCATGAAAGAGTTAAGATTTACACAGTTGAACTAATTAATTATTTGATTTATTTAAGATTTACACAGTTGCACAAATTAATATTTAATTTAGTTATGATTATTATATTAGGAAAGAACATGAGTAATTTTTTAGTACTATTAAGATAGAGAGGGAGACAGAAAGTTTTGGTTTCTCCGCGACGGTGTCTGTGGAGATTCCTCAGGTTTTTTTTCTCTCTTGGATTCCCATGATTTATTCAAAAAAAAATAAAAATAAAATAGAATAAAATGTTTTGAAAACTGGTGAAGATCAAAACTTCTGTTTTCAAATTTCAGAAACAAAAATTAAAAAAATGCCAATTATAGTAGATTTATGGTTTTAGGATTCCCAGAATCATCACCATTAGCGAGGCTATACTTTTATTTTAAAAATCTCTTAATTAGAAGCAAGATCTAAAAAAGAAGAATATTACTATTAAACCTCACATTCCAAGAATACTCAACAAGACAGAGAGCGAGAGAGAGAAGCACAAAAGGCTCAAACTTTGCTCTCCCTCGTGATTATCTTTTGCTTTGTTGGCTTCTACTAGTGTACAAAAAAAACAAACAGGTGATTTTGTTTTTGGTCTTTCTCTTCTACAAATGTATACGCTTTGTTGATATTCTGATGTTTCTTTGTTTTGAGTTTCTTTATCTGCAACTCTGTTCCTCTGCATCTTTGTTTAAGTCTCTGCTATGACTTTTAATTGCTAAAAGTTCGTTTTTTCTTTTGTTTAGGGTAACACTTGTTCCATCAAATGGAGAATGCTGTCGTTAAAACGTCGAATCTTTCAGACATCATCTCCAAGTTCGCTAAAGTCTGCAAATTTAGATCCGTTGGTGTGTTCCCTGACCACCAGAAGCCGAGTCTGAACAAGCCTTGTGATGAAGAAGTAGAAGAAGTCTTCGAAGATAATAAAGCTAAGGAAACTGAAGCAACCCATATCAGTAGCAAACCCTCGAGAAAGGTTCCAACATTAAGTTGGAACGATGATGATGCGATTTGGAAGGTGTTCGACACTGTTTCATCGCTTAAGCTCGCGTATCTCGAGTTTCAACAAGCTCATTTGCCTTATGATCCAGACAAGATCATACAAGCTGACAACCTCGTCGTGTCTCACCTCGAGACGCTACGAAGTTTCAAACGTCTCTACCTCAAAACCAAGAAGCAGCTCCATGCCAAGACCGAGCTGAGAGATGAAGTCGAAGTGAATGAGAAGATTTTGGAGAAACTCAAAGCGAAAATGAAAGCTAAGGAGAGTGAGATTCACTTTCTCAAGGAGAAACTAAACTCTTTGGTTGCAGAGAACAAGAAACTCGAGGATAAGATAGTTGTGAGTGTCTCTTCCTTTGAGTTTGTCTTTAGAGCAGCTTCTAAGTCGATACACGACTTTTCAAAGCCATTAATCACTCTCATGAAAGCTACAGAGGACTGGAATCTCGAGAAAGCTGTTGAATCCATCGTTGGAAACGTAACATACGCCAAGAACTCAGACAAGAAGTTTGCTTTTGAGTCATACATTGTTCAGAGAATGTTCCACGGCATGAAGCTTGATAATCCTTGTGATGTGACTGAACTAATGAGTTTAGATGATCCTTTGGACGCGTTAGCAGCGTTTCCTGATTCCGCGTTTGCAAGATTCTGCGGTCAGAAGTATTTATTAGTTGTTCATCCGTTGATGGAAGCTTCCTTCTTCGGGAATTTGGATATGAGGGGACTTGTTCTGCTTGGTAAGCATCCAAGAACGGTGTTTTATCGAATCTTTGCGAAAATGGCGAAGTGGGTATGGGTTCTTGGATCGTTTGCAGCTTCTTTGGATCTAAAAGCAAAGATGTTTGTGGTCAGAAGAGGGACAAGATTCTCAGGTGTCTACATGGAGTCTGTAGTGGGTGATGCAAAAGAAGAAGAGGACTTAAGAGTTGAATTCATCACAATGCCAGGGTTTAAGGTTGGAGATTCAGTGTTTAAATCTCATGTTTATCTTTCTCAAACCAAAAGGTGAAAAAGAAAAGCTCTTTGCTCTTTTTTTTGAAAGTTTTGTAGGTAAGGCAATTAGTATTTCACTAATATGATCATTTGCTTTGTAACTCTGTTCACATTCAATGATTCAGTCTATAGAAGATAAATCCAAGTTTCTTTGTTTAAACTCAGAAAATTACAATCTTGATACTCTTCAAACATTTTAGTTTTACTTTGCACTGAAACTTTAAAATGGTGTGTTCAATGATTGCCAAAAGAAAGATAAAAAAGCTTTTTGTTGTGATCATTTTCTTGGATCAGTTCATTCACCTGAAAACAGGTCTCTGCATAGCTCTCCATAGAATCTGGAGACAAGTTCAATGAAGACAGGGTTCTTAAGATTCTTCCAAGAGGAGAGAAGCTCCTCTATCTCCATCAAGTCATCCATTTTCCCTTCTTCAACAATCAGTTGAATCAGATAGTTTTCAAAGCTTCTGCAAGCATCTTCCACTGCATTGTCTTTGAATGTTTCTCTTGAGCTCAGTGATTTCTTGGTCTGTTTTGCATAAACAGGCGTTGTGATGGGTGTAGTGAACAGCTTCTTGGCTGATGCTGGTGTAAGAGGTGAATGCATAAACTTCAAAGAATCATCATCCTTCACACTAACTACAATAAACAGAAAAAAAGATTATGAAAATCCATCATAAACTCACAATAGGACATTGTTGTTTCCAAAATTGTAGAGAAAATGTCTTACAAGAGGAGCGTCTGGGTTTGGTTTGGCTCATCTCTTGGTCTTTGTTTGAGCTGAGAAAACAGAAACAAGACAGCAAAGAGGAAGAAGAAGAAGAAGAGATTGGCTTCTTGGGATGATGAGAATGATGTCTAGGTTTGACATTGCTATGACGTGCACGGCGAAGAGGTCTAATAAAGACAGGTCTTTTAACTCTGAAGCGAAAAAGAGAGCCAAATCTGTTGCATGATTTGGAAAGCTTTGATTTGAAGTTAATCAAAGTTGCTTTCACTCTCATTGTCTTGAACCTTTTTGCTGTCGTTGCTTTGGTGTAATGATCCTCTTTGCACTCTTTTGTTTTTGTTTGGTCTGTATAAGCTTAGATAGGATTTGGCTTGGTGTTGCGTGGAGTTCACGTCTGTGGATGTGAAAGTCATAAATCATATGTTGGTGGAGTACCATGAAGTTTAGAAAACGGTAGAGTGTTTGGTGGCTCTTGGTTATGAATAAAATCCAAAATGATGACTTTTGTTTTTGTATTATTGAAAAGGTTGTGTCTTGATTGGTGGGTCAATGCAGCAGCATTTGTTGAACACGGTCCCCACGTCTAACGAATCTTGAAGAGTTTTCTATCCATACTTAAAACTATACTCACACCTAAAGTTTTTTTTTTTTTATAACACTGAGTAATGAACAAAGTTTGAGGGCAAACAAATGTGAAAGACTAAAAAATAGGAAAATGAGATATCAGTAGACACCATCATAACAACAGAAGAAAGAAAAGCAGAATTTACCAACACCCTTACTCATTTAGCCTCCAAAACTAGAAGGTGAAATAGCCACGATGGAGCATTCCGAGCGATGTACGACTGGTGGCGCCTATCTCGAGTGACGCTGAAAGCAATGGCCGTTGCCGCTTCATTACGCTCCATCGTAAATAAAATTAAAATTACTATATAGAAACATCTCAAACATTTAAATCACCTTGTCTTTGGAAAAAAAAAAGAACCTTGTGCATAAGATGAAAGTCGGATCTCAAGGCGACTTAAGTCGACTTTCCTCTTGTTAGGTGTGCAAGGTTCCTTGCGGTGAGTTTTTTTTTTTTGCACAAGTCTCATGACTCATGAGCATAGACCCGTTTTATGTAGCTATTGGTGCTCACCTTGTCTTTGGAAAAAGAAGTCCTTTACATGTATGCATGGGAGCTACCAGCCTACCCAGAGCCAGCTGAGAGGGGCGGAGACAAACGGTGCGACCGCCACTGGTCCAAATCCGTATCCCCGTGTATATTACCAATTAAGAGGTCTAATATTTTTTATATTTACTTACTTTTATATAAATTTTTTAAAATATTCACTAAATTTAGGTGAAAAGAGCCCAAAAATATTTTATGTGTAAATAATATATTTTCATCCTAAATTTTATAAAGATCAAAGACAAAAATATTCAAATATATTTAAATTTTAATAAAAAAAATATTAAAAATTTAATATTTTTATTTTGTTCCGGGGTCCGAAAAAAAATGTTGAGCCGGCCCTGAGCCTACCACCATATTTCCTGAATCTTGTTATCACTGTGAGGAATGTGGCTTGAAGTGTCACTTAGAGTGTCTTGAGAGTTGAGATACCGGAGTAAGATATTCCTTGGCAATGGCGGTTCTATGGTGTATTGTGACGTTTGTGAGACAACATGCATGACACCATGCCTACTCTTGCAAAAAAATGTGATTTCTAGGTCACATTGAATATAACTTTTGAATGAATGACTCACACAAGTTCACATTCAAGCATGTGGTGTTTGTACTAGAGTCCCTTCTGTAACTTTAACGCCCACGTAGAGTTGTCACAAAGTGTTCGGCGGTAGTGGACATATTGGACCAAATGTTTTTCCAAAATCATCATTACGACTCCAAAGCTACTCCTATTTTGATTTAAAATGGAAAATATTGGTTATCCTAATCTCATCATTTGAATACCGGCTGTATCACCTTAATATATAGTTATACAATGTTCGAATTAAATTTTATATACTTCCAGCATATGAGAAGGTTTGAAGGTATATCAGACTACCAAATTCAAAGATGAGTCGAAAAGAAAGTTTAATTTCATTATTACGTGTAAAAAGTTTTAGCTAAATATTCAGTTTTTTTTTGTATACTATAAAATTTGATTTGTCCATTTAAGACTGCAAATGCGAAATGGTGCAAACGTTTTTAGCCGAAAAGATTATTTAGAATAAAACTGCATTTTCTTTTTCTTTTGCCATTTGGTCATAATAACTTCTTGCAAATATATTTTTGGGGGATTCCCTGAAACTGAATTTGTTAGAAAAAGGATGTCAAAAAGAACACTAAAAAAACCGCTTTGTAACGTTGGTTTCAGACTTTCAGTAGACTTTTTAGATTTTTCTTTTATTTCATATGTGATTTTTCGTTAAAGTTTTTTTTTTAAAAATAAAACAATTAATATACCATACTAATCAGTACTTAAAATTATATTCTACACCTAGTAGTATTTTCAGATTTCTGTAATTAGTGTTTAAACAAACTAATTAGGTTTAATCTGATTAAAATACAAAATATTAATCAAAAACTAAGTTTCAATCAGTGACTTTTGATTCACTTAATACTCTTCTTATAATTCAGTAGTTATCTTTTCATTTATACTGTTAATCTTATAAAATGTTATCATACTTCTTCAACCGAAATCCATTAATATACAGTCAATTCATATTCTCATTGTTTACTAAATCGACAACTAATTATGAAGATTGATATTTTTTTTTTTCAAATTTAATAAATTATCTTATTTGTCATCCAATTTTAAAATCCGCCCTGGATCAATTATTCCGCACTAAGCTATTTAAATAATCCGTAAATGAACTAAAGCGTGTGCAAATTTGATATATCAAATAGTTCATGCTGATGCTGCCATGCTGGTGATAATGATACAAACAAAAGTCATTCTTCAAGCTTTTTCCTAAAATGGGCCCCTAATTTTCTCTCACACTACATACATTCCAATCTTATCTAAGGAGACAAAACATAGTTTCTTTTATATAAGAGAAGTTCAGAAAATCTTGTGAAGAGATAAGATGGGGAATCACAAGTTCAAACTTTCAGATATGATCCCAAGTGCATGGTTTCACAAGCTTAAAGACATGACTAAACAGTCTAAACCCAAAAACAAACCTTCTTCTCATTCTTCCTCAAACACTTGTAACAAGAAAAAACTCTCCTCAGATTCTCTTCCTCATCACTTCTCCAATAGCTTAGTAGCTAACAGTCCTCACCGTAACTCACCAAGAAACTCTATTCACACAAAGAGGATGAGTAAAAGAAGGACACTTTACAAGCCATCTCTTAAACCAAACACTCCTCCTTTTGCATCTACAGGTTTTAACAAGAGCAAGATCAATGTTCAAGATTCTTCTCACTACGCGTTTCCAGCTCTTGAAAGGTCCCCTGAGTATTTTGTGTATAGTTTCTACAAAGAGGAGGATGATGAGTTCGTTGGTCATTCCAACCTTAAGATCAACACAAACAACAAAGCTTTCACCAAGTACAAGGTAAAAGAGTCTGATTCTGTAGAGAAAGCTTGCCATGCAAGTAAACGAATCAAAAAACCAATAAAAAGCCACCTTTCTGTGAGGATTAATAAAGAGAAAGAAGAAGAAGATGATATTGCAGAGAAGAAACAGCAAAAGCAAGTTTCTAGTGGAAGAAAATCATCTGCAGGGATAAACCTCAAAAGAGTAAATTCACCTAGAATTCAACTCTCAGGTACGCGTAGAAGCACGTCAAGATCAGAGAGCAAACAAGCTGTTCTTGAGAGTTTTGCAGTGATGAAACGTTCAGTTGATCCAAAGAAAGACTTCAGAGACTCAATGATGGAGATGATAGAAGAGAACAACATCAGAGCTTCAAAAGACTTGGAGGATCTTCTTGCTTGTTATCTTTCCTTGAATCCAAAGGAGTATCATGATCTTATCATCCATGTTTTTGAGCAAATCTGGCGGCAGCTTACAAAAACCAAGTAAAAAGCCGTTTTATTGTAACGGTAATTACATCCAGTAACATTAGTAGTACAATCATTCTGTCTTGTGAAGTTGTAGTTGTTGATGTTCATAAGAGTTTAGATGTAACTGTGGAGATTCTCTTTGAAGCATAGTTTTATGTTTTTTTATTTCTCTTTTAATCAATGGAACCAAATAATAAAAGTAGTTATCATATTGTCGTTTTAATTCAAAAAATGATGACTAAGGGCGTGCAAGCACTGATAAGACTTGAGAAATAATTGACCACTAACCATATTCTCTTTGCCTTTTCTGTGATTATTGACCTAAATAGAGATAAACTCTACAGCTCCAGAATTTGTTATTGTGGATTGCGCCCACTAAACTTTTGAATATTTTGAAACTACAATGTTGAAATAGGCGGTAAGAACAGCTTCTACAAAACCAGAAAAAGACAACAGTGAAGAGACAGGAACACTTTGAAACTCAACAAGCGAAGTGCATAAACGCTGGAGATAGAGAGGACCACTACTGACACGTAAACCGAGAATTAACTAAAGAAGTAAGAAACAGAGATGGGATTTAATCCCATCCTCTCCTACCTCTGTTTGGCTTATGAAATTTCAGCATAATACATGTCAATACGGTATGGTTTCTGAGTGAATGTTTCTCGATTATTGAACATCAAATCACATCCACACAAATTTTTGTTCACTTTTTCTAACTACAACTAATTTGTTCGATGCAAAAACCATCCCAGCACTATTGAAATGAAGGCGAAATTCAAAGCTTCTGAAGTTTGCTCAATCTCTTTTTTTTTTTTTTAAGTTAAGTATATTCGTATATAGACACCAATAAGACACATAGCTGCTCATTAACAATAGAGCAGATTGCCTGGAAAGGAGCTCAATTTCATAGTAGGAATATGAGAAGAAACACAAGAACATTGATTGAAATATTCGTTTATGTGAATATAATTCTGAATAAGTATACCGCAAAGATTGAGTTTACTACATTTTCATCTGCTAATATTCTTTGAACCAATTTTTTTTTCATGGATGTATATACCATGGACAATATTTTACGTAAGCCCTGTTCGGGAAGAAGACGCGCAGCGTCAGCGACCAAACACCATATATACACATAGACGTAGATAAAAGGGAATATAGATGAAAGAGAAAAGAAACGCTGCGTTCAAAAGTTGACTCCGGATTTCTAAAATGCCGACGCTATTGATTTCCGGCGTCCCCAACTTTGTTACAACTGAACTTTTAAACTAACGCTGTGTCTAAATCCAACTAATTTTTCTTCAGCTTTGATAGTTGACGCTAATCTCAGTGGTTGCTCGCCGAACAGGGCTGTAATGTTACTTCCATCTAATTTATCCATATACACCTGTCTATAACACAATATCCATAAGAAAAATATCAATATTAACAAAACAGTTTTCAAGGACAAGCAACAACAAATTAGAAATATTCGAATTCAAAAAAAAAAATTCCCAAAAATATCAAACATATACTCAAATAAATGTTAATTGGGAAAAATATATCCATATCATATTTAAAGAGAAATTCCTTAAAATAGATCTAAAATTTATTTGTCATAAATATAAATTTTAAAAATAAAAATAAACTTAAATATTTTATCAAAAATAAGTAAATATACATTTATAGTTTTGAGTTAATTAATTCTATATTTTTTGTTTAGAATTGAAAGTGGGTTATTTAGAATAATATTTCAAATTAAAAAAAAAATTCAAAATAAAAAATACTATTTTAGTTATTTTATTTTTCAAGATCTATTTTTTTTATAAAAACTTAAAAAATGTTTATTTGAGAGAATTATACTATTGTACTATGCCCCAACCCCTCCCCGTCACATCCTAAATAAAAACTGGAAGCAGAGTGAAAAAAAAAGGGGATCTCTGCTACTTGTTTGTTTTCGATTCTTCTCCTACCTCTGCGCAAGCTTCGTCTTCGTTCTTCCTCTGGTTCGTTTATTCTCTTCTCTTTTCAGCACTGTATACGTTTTTAATGTTAATTCCAATCGATCATCTCTGACCATCGCAAATGTTAGATCGCCATTATTGTAAACATATCGCTCAATCCCGATCTGTTGTAACGCCGCGGCTCGTAACCGTTAAATTTCACATCGGAAATCGAAATTGAGTTTAAATGATTAGCTTTGTTTTGAGCAGGAAACGATGGACGCGATTAGGAATCTGAAGATAAAGACATCGACTTGCAAAAGGATTGTGAAGGAGCTTCGTTCCTATGAGAAAGAAGTTGAGAGAGAAGCTGCCAAGACTGCTGCTATGAAGGACAATGGTGCTGACCCTTACGACCTTAAACAACAGGTTGTACACTAAATTGATCATTCATTATCTGTTTGTGTTCTAAGTCTATGTAGTTTCCTTCTACTTGTATTGTCATTGTCTGTGTGTATATTTGTGTTTGTGTTCTACTTATCTTACATTTAGTTAGTATCATTTCTGTATCATGAGAGGCTTTAATAGTATACAGCAAATGTAAATTTGCAAGCTATGATTTTTTTTATTATTATCTGATTATCTCTGTGGTTGATGTAGGAGAATGTGTTGGGTGAGTCAAGGATGATGATTCCTGATTGCCACAAACGTCTCGAGTCTGCTTTAGCTGACCTCAAGTCTACTTTGGTAATATTACACTTTCCCATCTCTATTAGAGCTTATTATATATGTGTCTCAAACGTAGAGAGTAGTGATCTGAACCTTGTTTGAGAAAGAAAGCTTATGAGCAGTTTATCTTCTAAATTCTAACAATCTATTAGTGATCACATTAATAATCCCCTGCATGAAAGCATTTTAGTCTCTTCTTTTTGAAAGACAAACAGTGGAGAACCGTGGAATTCCTGTTTTGTGTGTGTTTTGTTTGTCTCTTACAAGAACTGAATTTTGCAGGCGGAATTGGAAGAGAAGGAAGGTCCAGAAGTTGAAGATGCAAAGAAGACTGTCGCTGATGTGGAGACGCAGTTTCCCACTGAAGATGCCTGATTTTAGTCATCTAAAGAGTGTTGTTTGGTGTGTATTCTGAGAATGATTAAAATGCTGAGTTTGACGATTATCAATTGTGAGAATCTCCTCTTTTTTTCTTTCAATGCTACAATTGTTCTCGTTTGCTCTTAATACATTTTAGTGACTTTTCTTTCTATTTTTATCTAATTAATAAACTAGATATAAATAGAAATCAAACTGAGACTTTTTATTTTAATATATTGGAACATAGATAAATCATCCAATTAAATTTATTATTTGGTCAGTTGTGGAATTGAAAACGCAAAACATTATGGTATTTATGGATCGTATGACATGTGGTTCTCACTGTTGCCTGTTGGTTGGGAAGCCGGAGAAACTATGTGTAGAAAAAAGAATGAAAGTTACAAAGCTCTTCTGTAAAGGAAATTACTGTTATAAAGAAGAGTATTTGTGATTTCTTGTGTGTTATGTATAACAATCTTGTAAGCATGTGTTGTTTATAAAAAGAAAAGACTCAATCTGAGGGAAATTCTTATATTAGTCTTTAAATATTTTGTCTAATTAGAAGACGGTGAAGGTATTGCAGTGAAATTGTTGAGAGGGGAAAAATACGAAGGTAGTGCAATTTCACGTACAAAGATGAAGAAAAACAAGAGCTCAGGGAGCGGCAAATCTCATCTGATAAGATCAGAATAATACCGATGGACCCAACCATCGCTTTAGCCTAATATCATCACTGCTCTTAAAGCACCAGCCGGGAATCGAACCCGGGTCTGTACTGTGGCAGGGTACTATTCTACCACTAGACCACTGGTGCTTTGATGACTACGTGGCTAAACGTAACATTAACGTATAAAACAAAAACTACTACAGTATTTAGCTGAACCACTGGCTAATACAAAGACATCAAGGATACAATTATACAGAACTCATAAATATTAAGAAAGTCACGAATCAGCTAAAACCATTCGGTCCATTCCATTGTAAATCCAAAAAATAAACTGGGTGCTTTGCTCTCTTTCTGGTAGACACAGTAAAAGGGTTCATAAACTTTGAAACCCATCACAGCTGTTGAATCAAAAGGCTTGTGGTCAAAAGAACTTTATCTCATAATGCTAAATGAAGTGAACAAAATGTGACAAACAAATGCCAGCTTTGTCATAGTGGTTTATGTAGAGGCTTAAGTACAGCAAGAAATTGTGAGTTTACTATATGCCACAAGATGATGCACAAAACATTATTACCATGGCTGGAGTCTCCCACGAAATGAAGAACTAAAAGCAGAGGTTCTTCGAAAGTAAAAGGTTTCCTTAGTTCCGTGAAACAACATTCCAACTGTGTCTACACAATCAGGAAATGATTCTTCAGTGTATTTAAAATAAGCCGCCTCGCAATGAACCAGAGAAAACAGATTTCCGGATATTGAAGATGGACATTGAAAGTGACCTCTAAAAATGAAACACACGAGGAAGCATTGGAGTAGTGTGTTACCAAATATGAAGCCAAAGGTGCTAGTAAGGGCCTTGTGAGATTGTTAATTGTACACATTCTTGTTGGACTTGAATTAAATAAACAGAAGATGTGTTGCTGGAATGTGTAAAGTAGTCAATCAAGTTGTGTTCAGTATATAAACATCAGACAAACATAGTATGACTAGAACTTATATAAATCACAAAAGTTTTAAACAAAAATTTAGAGCTCAGTCAAATGGCATCACATCTGGATTAATCAGAGAATTGCGGTAGACCCAACCATCGCTTAAGCCTAATATCATCACAGCTCTAACTGCACCAGCCGGTAATCGAACCCGGGTCTGTACCGTGGCAGGGTACTATTCTACCACTAGACCACTGGTGCTTTGATGATAGATCATTTGTATACCTTATCTTATAGGAAAATTTACTTCAACAAGCCAAATGTGACCGTATATATTTATCAACTTTGAACAAAAACACAATACAAACTTTGTAACAATAAAAATCGAAAAAACCCCTTACAGAACTCTACAAATCGCTCATAGTTCTTCCTCTTTTTTTTTGTCACGAACGCTCATAGTTCTTCCTACGTATAGAAGTAGACGGAAGTAGAAAACATACAAGCGTCTAGTAAAATTCACTTGTTATCTTTTTGTATTTTCTCTTAGATGCTGGCTGAAAAGACCTTTCAATACACATTTGTAAAGCTAAAGCAGGTAATATGTATACGTAAAATGAAACAAGAAGAAGGAAGAAGAATCTTAATAACCTACTTAATGCTTCTCATGTGAGGATGAAAACAACAAAAAATTCAACTGTTTCATCACCAAACACCGAAACACTAAAACCATCCCCTCAAACTCACCACATACCATAAAAAGCCAAAAGAAACAAAACCAAAACACAAAAGAAGAAGATTGTCATTCTTGTTCTTTTGGACCAGAAGCTTATTCCTGCCTAAAACTAATGACATAATCAAACACAAAACTGTACCTCTCTCTCTCCCTCTCTTCTTCTCCTCTTTGTGTCTTCTTTAGAGAACATATACGAATACAAAGCAGCTACATGTTTAGCTTCTCTTTTTGCCTAGCTTGCAACTTTCGTCTCTTCACTGATTTTCTCAGCCTCTCCTCCTCCCAACTCCGTTTCACCTAAAACATTACCGCCTTGAGCCACACCGCAACACAGCCCTTCTTCACTTTTTTTACTCTCGTCTTGTTTCTCCACCGTCACAGCTTCAACGTCTTCTCTGTTATAAGGATCACTGTTCAGATCTATCCTCCCTGTTTTCCCTTCCTTCTCTCCTTCATTCTTATCAGGCTCGACTCCTTCCTTATTCTCCCCATCTGCTGCTGCTCCATCGCGCTCTAACTGCTTCTTCTTTCTCCTCATCATCAGCGTTTTGAACCTCCTCTTCACGGTGCTGCAAACTGTACACGCACACGTGGGCTTGTGTCTACCTTTCCCACTTGGCGGCTGAATGCACACAATGCATGAGCACCCAACCCTGTGCCTTGGATGTCTCGTCGTGGTTGCAACCTCTGGGTCGTCTAAAGTGTCTCCTAAAACTGCTGCACTCGCTAGTGCATCCAGACCCGATGGTTCTTGCTCATTTTTAGCTGTCTGGCTTACCCCAATTCTTCTCTTCTTGTACTCTAAGTAAACATACACAAGACAGTTTAGTATCTTCACTCTCAAGACTTAAGATCTCAATGAGAGTCCAATGTAAGATAATTTTATACCTTTTCCAGCTCTAAGAACATTCTCAAGTTCTTTTAGATTCTCCTCCGGTGCAGAACACGAACATCTATCAATGGTATTGTATCAAATTACAGCAACAAGAACTCAAGAAGAACTAATGATATTCGATTCAAGGCTTTTAAACGATTCTTACCTGCTACTGTCCCAAACATTGTCTGAACATGACCACTTTGCTGGGAGAAGAGCGTCTATAGGTAGCCTTCTCCATTTAGAGCAGTCGTCGCAAGATCCCCATCGTTCTTGTTCACTGTTTCACAAAAAGATAACGTTAGTAAATTTGCTTGAAAGCTGACTGGAGATGTGAAAGGAAGACCTTACCCTGAAGGTCTTGTAGTAATAATCGTCCTCTTTCCAAAGACAGGAGGTTCCTGTGCATGAACATAAAAAAGAGACATGACTTAAGCTGAGTGCATATTACTCATTGATTGTAAAAGAATCAACCACTTACGTCAAATTCCTCAAACTCATGCTCCTCAATGACGACAACGGTAGGCTTTGCATTAGGAGAGGGACGAAGCAAGTCTTGAGCTTCTTCCCATGTGAGTCTCAGCTCCATAGATTCTTCACTGTGCAAAAGCAGTCTCTTGTTTTTAGCACCGAGGGTTCTTGTCCTCTTCTTTTCCTTAACACGTGACGGATCATCACAAATCCTGCCTCCATTAACCTCACTCTTCTTCAAGCCATTACCACCATGAGGTGAACTCAAATGCTCAGGCAGAGCTTTCAGTTCTTCCAGTATTTGTGACGGACACGAGGAAGCATTTATGGAGGTTGGGTTCTCTGTAACACCAGACGATGACGTGTCCTCGTTTGAGGCACCGTTGGTAAAACCACACCCCTGTTTATAAAGATTGGATCCAGATAAGAATGTAGCTAAGCAGAAAACAAAAACAGCACATTCAGTTTGTAGAAACCAAAACCTGCATGTCTACAGTATAAGTTGCCTTCCTGGCACCCATGATCAGCTTCCCACCAGGATCAACCCTACTGAAAGTTACTGTACACAAAATAAACCAATATATAAGCAGAAAATTCACCCAAGGCATATGAAGCTTTAGGGTAAAAATATATACCTGTGTCACCAGCTTGTAGCCTCATGGACTGTATGCAGGGAGTGACACCTTCTAAGACATACATTCTACTGTTGTTATTGGGCCAGAATCTGAACTGGAAGGTCCACTCCTTACCCCTCACATCTTGAACTTTCAAAGGAATGCCTTCTGACTGACTAATGGGAGGAAAGTATGCCTATACACAGAGTCCCCCACTTCAGTCTTACAAAATCATCTGAAGAAAGCATCAATGAAAGAAAAAAAAAATAAGTGAGAAAATTACCTCTGCACAGGCTTTTGGAAGAACTAGACGACCAATGCGACCGGCATCACTGGCACTAAGAGTTTTCTCAAAAAGAGGTACAATGTTCATATTCAAACTAAAAAAAAATTGTTAAGGAAGAACATGGAAGTCAATGTCCAAAACAAAAATGTTTGGAAACAAAGAAAATAAGGATACTTCCCAGAGATCTGCTGAAGCTCTTTATCAGTATATTTAGGCCAATACCGAGGAAGTAAATGGCCTTTCCCACGTCCTTCAACGGGAGGCCTCCCGATTCGAGCCTGAGCAGACTTACTAGTCCCAGGAGGAGTTCCAAAAACAGGTTTTGAAGGCTTTTGCAGTACACTGGAGGCAGAGCATTGGAAAAGGTGGGACTGAGAAGAAGCACCACCACCCATGAGTTTCTTCCCGTCTACTACAGGGGTCGCAAAAGATGGGCTATAAGGAAGTGTTGCCAAAGCCATATTCAAAGAAGGCTGTGAAGGAGATGGTGATGATGATGATTTATTCAATTCCCCAGCGTCCAGCCGATAACCAGTGGTGGTGATATTGTTTTCCGGTTTTATAAGATTACCAAACCCACGGTGAGGCATGAACTCTTCTCTTTTGTCATCCCCAGAGACTAATGGCTGAGAAAAGAGATCAGCTTCACTTCTTACTATTCCCTCATTACTCATTCCATTTTCCCCATTTGTTTGTTGAATATTCATAGGCAATCTGCTAAACACACTTGAATTCTCTCTCTTATTCTGCAAAGAAGAGAGAGACGTTAAGAAGCAGAAGACAGAATCATCACAACAACAACTTGTAATATATTAAAACTCACATGGGAGTTAGTACAGGTAGAACAACCAACACCACCATAGTCCATAAACTCAACAATGAGCTTAGAGGCAATGCATCCACAATGAAGTCTCTGTCATTACAGAATCTCAATCAAAACCAACATTGCAGAGACAATTAAAAAAAATAAGAGTTTTTTTTTAAAACCAAAAAACACCCAACCTTGTTGCATAAATAGCATTCCCTCCAACCAGATTGCTCCATATGGAATGTTTCACAGAAACGAGACGTCTCATAAGCAGATCTATAACCAACAATCATTACAAATCAAACGTCAATCATCACTTATTCATGTATTAATTGTGTGTTCAGAAGTAATTAAAAAGTAAAGAAACCATCTACGTAGTAAAAAAAAAACACAAGCATGATTGAAAGATCGAGACTTTGAGTGCTAATGAGTTGGGATTAGAGAGATACCCGCAACGAAAGCAGAGGTCAGCGAGAGCACCAGATCGAAGAGGCCAACCTTTCTTCCATTCAGCACTAGAGGTCGAGCCACAAGACGCGTTCATGCACATCTTTGACCCCATTTTGACTTCAAACATCCTAAAGACAGAAACTTTCTTCCACCCACTAAACTTTTTTTTCCAAATTCAAATCGGAAATCTCGAAACCCTAACGGAGCTAAAGAGAGACGAATCGGAGGAGGAATCGACGTGAATTGGAGAAGAGACTAGTCATGAACATGCATATCGACGTGGTCAATCCAAGTCGCGTTAGAGATCAGAAGAGGATGTTGAGTGAAAAATCAAGGCGAGAAGATAGAGAGGAGGAGACAGTGACGGCGAAGAGAAGGAGTAGCAACGAGGTTTTTCTTTGGTGATTTTCTTTTAGTTTCTTTTTTTTTTCTTTTAATTTTTCGATGTGAAATTAAAATTATGGGTGAGATAGAGAGAGAGAGAGAAGGAGATGGAAAGGGGTGAGAGCATGCAAGAGAAAGAGTAGATAGAGAGAAAAAAAGAAACGCTTAAGAATGTGAGATGCATGCACGACACTTGAGAGAGCACACGCCGCTTAAGACCAAAGTAACTTAGACGATTAGATGAGCGAAAGGGTAAGACTTTCGTTTTGACTATTAATTTACATTTATAGACATGAATTAGGAATCAATTTTTTTTGGAAAATAAGATATATATGTTTCCCTACTATATATCTTATATATATATATTACCCAGTATTAATAGATATATGAAGACGTGGTTTTATATTTTGATTATATATATATTTATCTATAAGATTTTAGGTATTTTGTCTGGCAGATTGTGATAAGAATTAAGAAATCTAACTATGCTTTTTAACCTTTTTGGCAAATCATAAATGTTTAAAGCCAATGTGCCATGCATGGAACACACACACACAGAAGACTTTGAATTTCTTCTTGTTTTCCCTTGTGAACTCAACTGACACCGTATTTTATAAAAATCACGTGTTTTTTTGTTGGAATCTTTGTTGCTTCTGCTTTCCACTAGCTATTTATGCTACGACGTTTTTTTTTCCAGTTTTTACCTCCATTCTACCTCTAGTAGCACCTATTCAGGACTTCTGTTGAATGAGTCATGAGTATATTCTAATATTAATTCGGATTAAACCAGCGCAAACAAATATATTTTATGTTCCTGTTTTCGTTAATTTATATGGAATTTTCTTGTTTTGCAAAATTTATACGGACTTTCCCTTTACTCCATGCAGAGAATAGATCATCATTCCAGGGCCACTCTCCCCTTATCCTTGTATTAAATTCTTTTCATCCACAATTAATTCAAGAAACGGACTTGGATAGTCCGAACATCATTAAATAATATTATGCTAGATGATAATCTTCGCCGTACGCGGAATGAGCTTTTCAAAAAATATATTGTATTTGAATACATATTTTGTTATTAATAATTTTTTTTACATTTGATTAGGAATGGTAATTCAGGTATCATTTGGTTTAGATATTTGCGGGTTTGGTTAAAATTTTTGCAGGTTCGATTTGAGTTTAGGTTCAAATAAACCATTTGTTTTTTTTAAAAGATTAAAGTTCATATATACTTTAAATTTCTCAAAATCTCAAATTTAAAATAATATATAACATATAAATTTGAAAAATGAATACCAAAATACTTAAACTCAACAAACAAATTGGTTTATCTTAAATATTTAGACAAAAAATCAATAAATATTTCAAGTATTTCTGGTATGGTTTAGCTATTTTAAAAATGTACATTTAACTATTTTATATATTTCTAACTATTTTGGAAAATCTTAAAACATCTCATGTATTTTCTATATTTTTAGATGTTAAATTTAAATATATTTAAGTATATAAATTTGGTTCGAGTACATTTAGATTCCCAAAATATTTCGATTCAATTTTGGTTCTCTAGATATCAAAATTTTGAATCCATTTGGATATCTAACCAATATTGGCTAAAGATATGTACTACTTTGGATTAGATTTGACTCGGTTATTTGGATTCAGGTTTGTTGTCCACCCTATATTTTTTATTGCAACAAAATTTTAAACGAAAGAGATGATGGTTCATATTTAGTTTGGGTATGTAACAATTTTTAAACAAAAACACACTCTATTATGTATGTGATCCATTTAGTTAATTATTAAAAATTATTTAAGACACATTAAAAACGATTAGCTGAACTAAGAAATGTTACCATTAATTTCTTTTAATAATATAAAACTAAATAAAAAGTAAAAAGGAGAGAAAGTTGTTGTCAAATATTTATTATTCATAATCATTAATTGTGATATATATGTTAATTATATTAGGTAATTCCATATCTTTTATTTAAGTAAATAATAGAGAATATTCTTTTGTACACTACTAAGTAAATATGATAGTTAGTTTAACAAAAATATAACATATGTTTAGTTCGACCAACATATTTCTTTAAGAATTCTAAAAATCATTCTCACTGTGACACGTGACTACCAAAAAATATTGTAATGCTCAAGGATTAATATATAGGGGATTGACACCACAAAGATACATATTGATTTTAAAACTGAGAGATTCAACCTAAAGATCACAATATCTTGAACTTATGTGTCTTGCCATAGTATTATACAACTAACAATGATCTCAAATTTCGAAACTGAAGTTGTGGAAATTACGGGAAACACTCACTCGGATAGTCTATTTCATAATAAACATACCAGCAAAGCCTATGAAAATTAACATGTGAATCCAAACATAATTCAAATCCCATGATTAGTATAAATTACATATACTATATTAAGATCAAAGTATCTGATATGATTAGGCTAATTTTTATGTGGTAGCCATGTGAAACCTCTTCTTGACATAGTTGTCATCACGCTAATCGTGGCTAACGTAGTAATTAACAAGTAACAATCTCGTACCAGACATGTTTGCATATGAGAAACAAACAACCGCAATATTTTTGTTTGTTGTTAATATTCGTGTAGAACACTGTTAAGTAAACATCCAATGACATTTTAGGACGGAAAGTAAGAAATAAAATCAACGGATAGAAACTGCAATAATGCCTGATGCACACATAAAGCTGTAACTGGGGCTCACGTTCCCAGCTTGCAATAGACAGACATTAATTTTTCTCTTGTTGTTTAAAGTATATCTATAATACTAACATCAAGGAATCTCATTATCCCCCATATAATTAGAAAATGCAACATTTTTAAAGAAAAGGTACTAACTTTATTAACAACAATATGACCAAAGCCATATAGGCTGTCTTAATATCTTATAATAGATCTACTGAAAACTTGTTTAGTTTAAACTTTCACAGCACACGCACAATGCAAAATCATCCTTACCTATAACATGTTTTATTGTGATCGGATTTGCGCTTATCGACAGGACCACAGCAAATGCATCTTAAAATACTATAGACAGAACGTGGGTAATGTGACTAAATGACAAATACAGTTGCATGTAAGAGTGTAAGAGTAGGTGCAAACGCAAAAACTAAACGCCTGTATGGACAACAACGTATGGTTGATTTTATATCTGCGTAACCCCTCAACTAAAATAAACCAAAGTTGCACATTCCCTATGCTCACGAAACATGAATTGATATTTATTTCAGTTTTAGAGATAACTTGAAATAAAAGACAAAAGATATGGATATGAACTTCTTACCTAAGTTTTTAAAGAGTCAAGGAGCAAACTCTTGTTTAAACAAACGAGCTGAACCGTGCGTCTTTCCAGCATTATCATTTGTTGGTACGAGTCTCTACTTATCTTTTCTCCTGATTCTATCTCAAGATTGAATATGTTAGCTTATTGTAATCCTACTAATAATAGACAAATGGAGTTCTTTGGGGGGGGGGGGGGGGAATATCAATTTACCTCTGTTTCCTTGATGCCGAGCTTTCATAACCTCCTTGTTCGGGTTACACCTGACAACGATTAAAATTTCTCCACGTGTCAGAAACATTGGATCCAGTGACGGAATTTGGATACTTGAGAACAAACAGATTGTCTGAACTATTAGAGAAAGAGCAACACATGAGATTGCGTGACAATGTTTACCGTACATACTCATTTTCGTCTGAGAGACTCTTTACAACGGATGATGAGGTCTCATCTCCATGATTTTTTGGGTCATTCACTCCCTTGCTTTCATTGTCGTCCTCTGATAACGTGTCACCCCCAAAACTGCAGATGTCTCCTGCTAGTTTAGATTTATGGTTTGCTGATACACAGTTCATGTAGTTGTGTTCATCATCATCATCATATCCACTGCCTTCTGCTGAAAACTTAGGAACCCATGTTTCGGGAATAGAATCAGGGGCTCGAGATTGACGCCGGTGCGAGCTACCAACAGCGGGGTTAAGGAAATGATATGGTTTGTCTCTCTCAGTTGTAATATCTGCGCCAGAGGTCAAAACAGGAACTTTAATGTGAGAGATCGCCAAGATAATGATTATGTTTTAGGCCAGTGAAGATGTTAGAGGGAAAAAAATTGAGAGACAAACCTGAGCTTATGCCTGCAGCTGTAAATCCGTCTGTAAACCAATTGTAAGGCGTGTCGAGACCACCCCTGAAAGCAGAGTCTCTCTGACTGGTAGATTTCAACTTTCCTGGGTTTGATAGTCTGTCATGATTTCTAGACCCAACTTTTCTATTCAACTGTGGATCATCCACCTCCCAATCTTCCCAAGATTCTCGGGTAAGGCCATTACTCAAATACTTCTGGTCTCCAAGGTTGTAAAGAGAATCAGTTTCCCTTTTCTTCTGTCTTTTATTCGTCCCATGTGAAATGGAGGTTTCATTGGCCCAAACTGACAAAGATTTAGGGACATTGACGGTTCAATGACTAGGGAGAAACAAATGTCTGCAACATCAAAATACATGATTCAAAAGAATTCTATAAAAGGGTTAATACCTGCACTAGACGAGCAAGACTCTTCACTGTTAAAAATAGTGAGAGGTGTCAGTATATCTCAGCATAAGAAACACAATTATAATGATGTATATTGTAGTTGCTTACCTACGCAAACTAGGGCTGTCTTCGTCTTCTTCAAGTACAGCGGATGACCAAACCGGTGGGTCATATACTTTGTCAAAAGCAAAGTCGGGGGTTCTGAAATAACTCGATGTTATTTACGCATTATTCAGTCATGACTTCAGATATGACTTTACGCAATTGAAGGATCTGACTTACGCTTCCTTAACAAAGCTTGGATCATCGATGATCCTTTTTAGACGCTGTGGTCTTCGAACTGGTGAATCTGAAAGGAAGTAGAAAGAATATGTAGAAATGTCTTTTGCCAACTTCAGACTCCAAAACAGAGTAAGCAAACTAATACTGACCAAAAGTGAAGTAAATCAAATGGATGATATTAATAACTTCTAAAGAATGACGTGAAAAATGAAATTTAAAAAGACATACGCTTAAACTATTTATTCTATTAAGACAACTTACACAGTCAAATAAAAGTTCCTTGATAAAAGTATATATGAAGGCAGCTATTATTCTTAATTCAGTAGAACTAAACCCACCTTCGATGTTAGACCTCCAGTTCGTTTCCAGGTAATCCCTAGATACAAAAGACTAAATGTCAGAAGTTACAGAATCACTATCCATAAAGGGACGAAGTGAGAGATTTTTAAAAGCACCTCTTCTTTGTCTCATGGTGTCCTGCAGAATAGCGACTCTCAGTGTAATCCCTTCCACAATTCGTGAAATTAAAGTTCAAACTTTCCTCTTGGCATGGCCGTTGGTCCTTCCAGTAAAAACTGTCTACCCCGTCATCAAGAAAGGTGGACTTAGCTGATAAGGTAAGAAGAAGAAAAAATCATACATTTTTGTTATTTAATCTCATTAGGAAAGAAAGAAACAGATGCACATATGATTTTAGACCAGAAAAGATTTTGCTACATATGTTGTTCATATCACACTGACACACCACATGACATTGTGTTCATTACATTTTATACTATGTTTACTACGAACTGACATGCTACTTTGTTAAGCCATGATTTTTGTAGATTGCAGAAGGTAGATCATCGTGACCAAACTAAGAGAAAAAAAGTGAGATAATAAGAGTTGCATAGATGGTGAGTTGTGCGAGAAAAATAATAAAGAAAGAAAGTATTTGCATAAGAACCTACCGTTCCACTCGTTTTCGTCAAAGATCCTGCTTTTGTTGAAATCTGCAGCGTCACAGATGTAGCCTCTTGAGTCGCTGATATATGGTTTGCGCAAGTGACCATTGAAAGTACCCAATTTTTGCTTTATGTTCCCATCTGTAGCATGTATGTCAACGGGAGACCTATAATGGTTGTCATCTTGGAACATTTTGCTACTTCCAATTTTTGTGTCCTGTAAGAGGAACAGTAAAATATTGGGTTTGGAAAAAAAAACTGGAAATGTAACGAAGATATCTAAAAAGATAAGATAGCAAGACTTTGTTACCACTTTATTCTCAAAGTCCTTGAGCCTTTCCCTGACGTTTGATGTAGGTTGACCGGAATCATTCCATGGAGAAGAACACCGGTACGCGAAGTTTCTTTCACACCAAAAATAAAATACAATCACTGAGTAATATCCCAAATAGTGAATACTACTACTCATGTAAGAGGACACAGTATAATAGATAAAAGGAAACAAACATAATGAAAATAAGTGCCAATCCAAACAAAATCGTGAATAATACTCACTTGCCTGATGGTTGTGGAGAATTGGGTGGAGTTTCTGCGTTTATTTTTCCTAATCCTAAATGGAGAAAATAAGAGTCACAAGAGGAAGATACAGTGAAAATCTCGTCTTAAACACTTATCATTGTCTAGGTACAAATGGAAGTTTAAGATTTCCAATACCTTCAACTGAAAATGCCATGTGAGCCTCAGATGGAGCACATTCTTCCAGGTTTGTTGTTGTGTGATCATCACCAACCAAATCAAAGACGGATAACTCTGAAACAAGTACAACGTCCATATGAATAATAAAAAGTACAATGTTCTTGCCTCAAATTCGGATGAGCTACAATAAAACTTGATTAGAAACTAACCAGAATGAGACATGCATATCTACTCCATGTACAAGAACGGGGAAACAGAATACAGTAAACGTTTCTAATTTCTAGATGCTAAGTTATAGAAAGTACGTACTTCGCTCTGCGCCATCCATCAGATCCGCTGATGTGTTTGCTTTTTTAAAATCATTTGTCGGGTTGTCAGGGAGACTAAACGAAATCCTATAAGACAGTGAAGCATATAAATTCTATAGAGCATGAAGTTCCATTAGCAAAAAATTCAAGAAAAACAAAACTTAGGCAGTCACATTACATGAAAACATTACAACGAGAACTAACTTGCCTCTTTGAGGAAGTAGTTTCTGCTTTTTTGTTAAATGAACTTCCTGCAACATCACAGATACTACATGAGCCGAGGAGGACCAGATACATATTCAATCATGAGTCTGGAGACCTTACCTACTCCTGTAATGTTGTCCTTCAGACTGTTGAAACCAGCATCCAAATCTTCCAATACTTGTTTCGTTAACAAATGACACAAACAGGAACAGAGTAAAATGGAATCATATGCCGGGATTTGGAGCATTAATGCAAATAGTCCACACTCAGAACAATAACAGGAACAAGCATATAGTTACCATCTTCTGGACGAGAAGGTTTGCATTCAGGAGTAGCAGGGGTTGACAAGTTGATGAAATTGAGAATATCCAAAGATCCGTGTCGAATACCATTGTTCCTATCATTATTAGAGCTCCCAGACCCAACTGTGAGCTGATGCTGTTGTTGTCTCCTCTGCTCAAAGTATTGTTTTTGCCTTAGAGGTTCAAAACAAAGAAGAAATAAAAAAGTGTTTAAGCACTAAATGTCTACAACATCATCAGTATGAAGAGTACATCATAGACAGAGGAATAAGAGCTTACACACCTCTTCTTCACAGATGCGTGCGACTGAATTCCCCAAAAGATGCAAGAGAGCAAATAATAAGTCAGAATTAAATCATCTAAAAAACCTCAGGAACAGTGTTTATAAGAAACGTAAGCTATCATCCCAACACCAAGAGAGGTACTCTCATCTTCACTCTCTAAAAGGACGAAAGCAAAAGTCACTTACAGCGGCTACTTTCCGCCTCGATCCTCCCATCCATTGCAGCATCCCTTGGAAACGATCTGTACACGAAATCACAGGAATATCAAAATCAAAATTTCAATCGTTAACTACGCTACGAAAAGCTCTCGACGCAACGATTCCATAACTAAGATTGTGTTTCCTTAAACACTACACAAAACTTAGATTCCCAATCCAAAACTAACGATAAGATTCGACGATTTTAGGTTAACTTTCGAGTAAATTCCGGAAAATCGAGAGGGAAGGAGGAGAGATTACTTAGAAAATTCGAGAGGCTTTTCCAGTATCTGAACCGCGTCTCGGAAACGGCGTTTGGAGCATCGAAACTATCAAGTGAAACTGATAATCACTGCTACACAACAACGATGAGGGCGATGGATCGCAGAAAGAGAAATCGAGGAGGAGGATGAAGCTAGCGAGCGGAGCGAATGGTGTTCTAAAAAAAATTCGAATTTTTCTTCTGAGCATTTGTTGTTTACACTCCCGCTGCGATGGACCACTATTATAAATGGGCCTTACAAAGCCCATTGGTAATTTTGGATAAGTGGTGGGTCCATTAAAATTCAGTTTTTTTTTTCTCCAAGGGGAAGACAAGTGACTGCAATTTCTGACTACAAAATTGAGAGTGCGGTCACTGAGGTGGGTCTGATTTGCTGTTTTAGACAACACCCCGAGTTTATGGGATTCACCAAAAGAGTAGTGTTCAGTTTCATGTATGCAAGCAGAGAAGTTTAGAGGTTTTGATTCCGTACCCAACAAGGAATATATAGGTATGCCAACATCGGTTCAATTAAGAACTGACTCTCGAATATAAAACAGAACCAGAGTGGCTCGATCAAGAAAAAAAGAAGGTGATTAGAATGATGTCCACATCATACTTTTGCCCACCTCATGATTCTGCTGTTTTGAGTTGGTATTTGTCTCGCCATATAAATAAATAGGAAGATCGATCTATCATATAGACATGGTCACATGAAACCGGTATTTAAGATGGAGAAATTAATGACGAGATTCAGGTCACACAATCATCCAATTGCATGGCCAAAGCTGAAGAAGACATGTTCCTACGGTTGAGGAAAGCATTACATGGTTTAAAGCAAAGATGTTACGATTAATATGGAAGCATTAACTCATGCATTTTGCAACTTGAATTTCAAAGGTGCATGAATAATGCAGCTTGTATGTTGGGATTAATGACAAAGATTTTTTGGTCATAAACTTGTGTGTAATACCACAATAATTATCAACTCATTCACATAAAAGAAGGTTGTGTTAGACAAAAGAGATGTCTATCTTTAGTTGTAGTGGGTGTTAATTTTAATCTACAGGCATGGGCGCTTACAGCTCAATCTGAGATCTAATCCAAATCTGAAATTTTTGAATCCAAACCCAATCCCATATGCAAAAATACATTAACAAATCTTGTAATGTGATATTTCAAATATCAAGTATTATTTAAACTTAATCTTAAAAGCCGAACAGGTAGCCAAAAATATCTAAACACTTACAAATATCTGGAGAGCAAATCAAAACTGAATAAACACAAGAAAATCTATTCTTTCATATAGGTCAAGTTCAATCAGACGGAACGACTCAAATCCGATTACCATTTGATTTTAAAAGATGGCATCGACATAAAAAACACACACACACATGAAAATCTAAATTAATATAGGATTGAGCATTCAAAAACCTAAATAAATTATTCAAATATATAATTCCATATTTATATTTTCTCATATAATATGTTCAATTTTATATGTTGTATTAATTTTTTGAATTTTAGATAACTTCGTACCCTTAATTAGTTTTTCGGATGAAAATATCCAAACTAATCCAATTCTCTTTTTAGAAAAAATAGCTGAACCAATATGAACCGACAAAAAAGTTTAGAAGTAATCGAATAAAGTTTACATCTTTCGCCCTAAAAATTCAAAAACCTTTCTGGACGGACAGCAGAATGTAAACCCTTAACAATCTCTATGTAACCCAAGTTTGTTTTGTCTTCTATTTAAATGCATTTTATACATTCATCTATTTGATCTGAACTAGTCCAAAAACATTATAACATAAACCAGAACGGTACCCAAATCTAATTCGAACTCAAGAGGATCCCAAAACCCAATACACCTGAACGCCTGCTCTTATCAATATCTATGCAACTCAAATTTTTCGTTTTGTCCACCTATTATTGTGTTAAGAAACGACTAATACGCTAATCTATTAGATTTTCTCATCAAAGAACGACTAATATAATAATTTATTTTCCAATTTATCCACGTTTTAAAAGGATCTCATGAACGTTAGTTACACTCTACCAGAAACCTCCAAACTAATATGGTTCAACAATCATATGAGGATTTGAAAGTATGTAACAACAATGTCCATTTCAAAACAGTGGAAATCACTATTATTGCAATCGTGGAACGGAACCATTTTAAAGACATTTTTACACAACACCTTACAAAAAAAACGTGGAATATTCAACAAACATCATTATAGTGTTGTCCATAACACAAGTCATTTGTTTCTTTTTAAGTTTTAGAAGGACCTTGGCTTCATTACGATTGTGGAGTGGTGAAGAATGTGCAAGCTGAACTGTCCACCTTTCTCAGAAGTATCAACTTTAGACTGTCCTGGAGGTGGAAGAAGCTCGAAGTTCTGTACCAACCTACCAATAGTGATTCCCAAAATAGGCAACGCCAATATAATCCCTGGACAGCTTCTACGTCCAACACCAAACGGCACATACCTAAAGTCATTACCGGTGGCTTCCACGTGAGCCTCTTCTTCAAAGAACCTCTCGGGCCTAAACTCGTCAGGCTTCTTCCAGCTCTCAGGGTTGTTTGCTAGCCACCAGGCATTGACCAAGATCTTGCTTTCCGCTGGGATGTCGTACCCAGCGAGCTTAGCGTCGTGGAGGTTCATGTGAGGCACGAGGAGTGGAATAGCCATTCTTAGACGAAGGGTTTCCTTGATCACGGCTTGGAGGTATGGAAGCTTGTGAAGATCAGGCTCTGTGACTTGAACTCCTGGTCCAAGAACCGTGTCGATTTCGTTCCTTAGCTTGGTCTGGATCTCAGGATGGTTCACTAGCTCCGCAATTCCCCATTCGATGGACCATAGTGTTGTCTCAATAGCTGTTTCACCAGAAATAAACAAGAAATTAGCATTACATAATACAAGTACAATCCAGTTCCATTAGGTGAGACATATAAAGATTTAAAAAAAAATAAAATCTCTTTTTTTTCCGACCAACTAATGTACTGTTTAAGTTAGTGTTCCAGATTTATAGGATTCACCCAAAAGAGTGTTGTCCTTTTATCACGCAAGCAAGAAACGCCTAGAGAACTAGTTACGTACCCTACAAGTAACAAAGAATACACAAAGAAAATGGCTAAAGGGTAATGAAGTTTACCAGCAACATTGATGTTCTCAACGATGTAAAGAACATTATCCTCGTTGATTTCTCCCTTCTCTTGAGCTTCAAGGATGTGATCAATTGCGCATCTCAATCCATCACCCCCTGTAGGCTTAGAACTCGCAATTTGCCTGTTCAATTCCTCAATCTCATCAGTATCAAGAACCCTAAAATCAAGAACAAGAATGATACAAAAAAAAACCCAAAACTCACTTCCTCTCATCAACAAAGTACTTCTTGAAAAGCGCGAGTCTCCGATCCTTAACATCTTGACAAATCTTCAAATATCCTCTAAGGAACGGCCTAAGGATAGGAATAAAGTCACCATAGTTATACTCAAAGCTCTGATTCAACCTACTTCTCTCTCCATTCAAAGCCTTAAGCCTCAAAAACAGAGGATCATCCTCACTCTCAAACCTCCTATCAAACATGATCCGAAACATGTTGTTATACATCATCAACTGCAAACGCTTCCTCAACACAATCCCTTTCGTAGCGGAATCAACATTCTTCTTCACATCCTCCACCACACTCGCGGCCTCGAACTCCCACCCTTCACGATTCCTCTGCACGACCTTGTTTGTGAAGAAAGGAACCGTCATGATCCTTCTCATCTTACGCCAGTGCTCTCCGTAGACAGTGAACACCATGTCTTGTCCTTTCCCTGTGAAGATGTCGAGGACGACGTTTCTTGTCCGAGATCCGAACTCTACACCTTGCGTGTGGAGCACTTCTTTGGCGAGGTTAGGTGAAGAGACGACGACTAGGTTTCTTTGTCCCATTCTTAGGAGGAAGAGGTCTCCGAATTTTTTAGCGTAGTCGACGAGGTTGCGGTGGTTTAGATCGTCTCCGACTTGGAGCCAGTTTCCGAAGACGGGAATGGGGATAGGTCCGGGAGGTAGTTTTAGCTTCTTGCCGCGGAGCTTGGAGATCACGGTGGCGAGAATCACCGCCGCGAAGACGGCGATTAGTGACTTCTCTAATAAGAGAAGATCCATTTCTTACACTTCACTCTCGGTTTTGATTTTTTTGGTTATTAGAGTGATTGGTTTTATTGGTTTGTTTTGAGGCAAATGTGAAAATGCAGAAGAAGCTGCTGAGGAAGAGAGGGTGGTGAGGGAGATGAATTTATAAAGAGGTTGGTTGGTTGGTTTGAGAAGTGAGAACCAACGGAGAAAAGACAACGGCGTTAGGTACGTGGGAGTTGGTGAAAGGCGAGGAAGTGATTAACGGCGTTAGATTTAACGGGATGGCTGTGTGTGTGAGTGGGTTGATGGGGGGTAGGTAAGGACTAAGGAAAGGACCGTAAAGTGAAGAAGAGGGTTTGGTGAAGGTATATAAACTTAAAAGTTTGCTTTGTCCTTCTATTTTAATGTGATCATGAAACCACTAGACAATCATTTTTCTGAAATATAAATATAATAACTTTGGTGGCATATAATGAATTTTTTTTAGCAAAATTATTCTATTTTATATGAATCAGTGGTGGACTCAATTAAATAGTAAAATTTTACTAAATCTATATCATGAAATTTTTATGCATTAACTTGGCAATTGGATCAGCAGTTAATAACCTACTTTGTTTAGTAAAACACACATTTGTCATTATGTTTGGACTAAAACTGTCACTTGTGATTAGGATGGATCACTTATCGCTAATTTTATTATTTGAATTTGTCATTTAACATCATATATAGTTTGTATCATACTCATTGCAACAACATGCACCATTAACAAATAATTTAGGTAGTAACATTCCAGTGTACTGTACTTATGCGACCGACTGACCTTCAGCTCAACCAAACGTAGATCTAAAAGTACTTTTAGGCTTTTAGCAGGGTATTCTCATAGACTTTGAGTTAGTCAAAAGCATTTTTTATCGAATTAATTAAAAAATGAATTAAAATAAGAAAAATCAAAGTTTTGAGCTAAACAATTAAAATAAGGACAGGTTTGTCATAGTGTAAGAAAATGTTTAATGAAAGGTTCTTAGAATGAAGCTTTGACGGAATATAAGAACGCGTTTTAATTAAAAAACTAAGAATCGACTTTTAAATCTCTTATTTAAGAGTTAGTTTTTAGTTTTTTAGTTAAAAGTTAAGAAACGGGTTCTTCTATTCCGCTAAGACCATCATTATCGGTAGAACAGTTTAAAATATTCTTAAATTATTATTTTTTGATTAAAAATAAATAAATATAGACTAATTGCGGACCACCACGTGTCAGTGGAGCCCGCAAACAAACTAGGACAAGGGCGAGATGTTTCTTATCTACGGACGTTGGGGGATAAATTTTGCCAAAGGGTGTGGCTCCACACCAAAAAGCCACTAAGGACAAAGTGAGAGACCCCGATAATCATGGTCTAAGAACACAATCCTAAGAACCCTCCATTAAACATGTTTTAAGAGTATGTTTATTTAAGAACTCTTAAGATAGAATTCTTAACTCATGATTAGACATTTTTTTTTTGTATACTTTTTAACTAAGAAGCGATTCTTATATCTTTTATTCAAGAACCGGTTTTTAGCTTTTATTAATGTAAAACTAAAAAACATATTTTAACCGAAATTAAAAACTCCACTCTAAAAATTCCCAATAAATATGACTTAAGTCCCCTCATAAAACAATTTTATAGCAAATAATTAAATAGAAATATGGCTTAAGTCCCCTCATAAACACAATTTTATAGCAAATAATTAAATAGTGTATCTCACAAATGTCAGTTCAAGCCGTTGTATAATATATGGGTCTCTCATTCTCTTGAATGTTGATATATTGTCCTATAAATATTTGATCAAAAAATTATCCTATACATATCTCATTTGAAACATTTATAGGAGAATATATCAACATTTAAGAGATTCACCCAATTAAATATAATTGTTTTTTTAAATATCTGGAGATACTTATGATTGAGGACACTGCAAAATGATATTGCTTAAAACATTTTCAATATATAAGTGTATCGAAGTATTAATATTTTTTTCTCACAGCAAACATATACCGTTTTTGGTCTCTGATTACTATGTATCATACTTCCTTTACATGATACATTTTTTTTTAGTTCCTTCTTATAAAAAAGATTAATACTATTAACTTATGTTCTACATAGTGTACTGTGTACATGATACATTCTTAAAGCAATGTCGTAAATTGTAGATGCTCGTTCAATAAAGTTACATTGTTTGTTTAATCAAAGGTTGTCTAGACGGATTTCAAAACATGTGAGCTCTTATAATTTAAAAGAGACTATTTGGTTCTTTTTTGTGAGACTGTATCTATACCATGTAGCCAATGGTTTAGGACTTTTTGTTTTTGTTTTTCTATTAAAAAAGGATTTCTATTAAATATTTAAGTGAATGTAAAGAAAAAAAGTGAATGTAAAGACTGCAGTTTTACCTCTCCCCGGATGGTCTGGATAATGTCGATTTTCAACTGTTCAAAATATTTATAGCGATATTAATTATCACTACTTTAGTACTTACGAATAGAGACGCGATGAATTACGTCTGTGTCTGAGTTTTTTTTTTTTTGAAGAAGAAAGGTTTTCGTCTGTGTCTCAGTTAAGACAATTTTGTTTTTGTTTTCGTGTGTTACTTAGTTGACAACTTAACAATAAATCAATATAAAAAAATGAAAAAACATAAAACATTGACCAATGAATAGTATAATATATACCAAATAATTTTCTAAAAATCAGATTTTAATATAGTAACATTACTATATCGACAATCCAATTGTTATGTTAAAAGAAATAAGAAGTCCAATTTTTTTTTTATTTTTTTTTGAAAGAATGTTATAAGAAGTCCAATTTTTACCTTAAATATTGTTTCTTAAGAATTCATATATCCTTTAAAAAAAAGAGTTCATATATTATCCTTTAAAAAAGAATTCATTTATCCTTCCGAAAATGTATTAACAAGGAAATATTAGTAACACTCTACCAAAGAGTAAAACAATTAGCATTGGACGGTTGGACCAATGGGGACCAATGTAAAACAAGAAGAAAAAGTCGTCGAACACAGAAATGAGCACATGAGGAAATTAAATCCGTCACGGCGAGATAAAAAAAGAAAGAAACAGTATGAAACAGTGATTGAGGGTAGGTCTGAATTTGAACAGCTTGAGACGCCGTCAGAGATGACGCCGTCAAGAAGACATATTATATTGGTTTCTCCAAAAGTTGTGGTTGTTAAAATAAACGCGAAGCACAGTGCAGGCTCAAGCATTTGGCGCATTACACATCCATGTGAAATCGTTCAATGTCAATTTCAATACAGTCAATTTGGCAACAACCACCGTATTGACTTCAAAAATAAATGATAGCCTATCACTACATACGGTCGTCACGTAATTTGTTTGTGGCGTATTTAAAAATAAGGAAAGAGATAAGCCCTACCACGAAAGACAGCGACATGGAGAAATAGTGTTACCTACCTCTCACCAAATCCACCATTATATACCTCCCAAATTTGTCTACGATAATATACTTCTCATTTAGTTGGCTGGATCATAAGTTTCCACATCACCTTCTCGTTTGCACAACCACGATCTTAAAATGGGCCTTCTTACTTGGACCCACCGACACATTGAAGCATGTGCCCATTAGCCAGAACTAGGCTTTTTTATGAGTTTTTAATAAATCTGGTAAGTGTTCCCTTTATGATCTATACAACATGTGTTAACTATGTATAATATTAACCCCCATATTAATGAACATGTAATGTCATCATTGACAGGAACAAAAGAAAAGGATACAGAAGTGAGAACAAAAAAAAAAAAAAGTGTAGCAGATACTGAATAATAGAAAAGAGTAAGTTTATGGAACTAGATGAATTAAATGAAAATGATAATTTTACATCCACACGACTAGGGGTGGGCGCGGATCGGATATCCGGATCTTTTAAGGTATTTGTGATTTGCTTCGAATGTTACGGATATCTAATTTTGTTATTTGTTTTGCTTCGATAAATACGGATATCCGGAAAAACGGATATCCGGAAAATAAATAGATATTTGCGGATATTTACGAATATTTACGAATATCTCATACATTTTGATTAATACAAATAAACTTAAGATTTTGATACAAATTTTCTTTGGAAAAATATTTTTTTGCATGATATATAAAATAAAAATTAAAAGAACTAGTGAATTTACATATTTTTTTTAATTATTTTAAGTTTAATTTTCAATTATAATAACACAAAATTTAAGGAAAAAAAATAATTATCATAAATCTTTTCTATTATATAATACTTTTATATAAGTAATAATGTGAATAAAATTGTTCAAATCATGTGCTAGAATAGTAATTATATAATTTTATACATTTAAAATTTTTAATATAATCAAGATATACATATATTTATATATTTCCGGATCGGATCGGATATCCGCTTCCCAAAATTTTAATATTTGTGATTTGCTTCGATTTTAACGGATATTGAATTTTAGTATTTGCTTTGATTCGAAAGTTTACGGATATCCGAAATTTTCGGATCGAATCGAAACGAATAACGAATCGAATCAAATATAACGGATAAAATGCCCAGCCCTACACAGGACAATTGTAGGACCGTACACACCATGTTTGTTTGTTTGTTTTGTGGTTAAAGAAAATTATCTTGATCAAACAATCAATTCAAATCTAATATGACTGACCACACGTTTGTGGTCAGGTGATAACATGGCGTTCCGTAGATCTTACGGAACCTAAATTTGAATTCGTCTACACTCAAATTATTGCAGCGCGTGGTCACTAGGATATTCACATGATCCCCAGCCTTCAGAGATTGATCCCTGGATTATCCAAAAAACATAACTAATATGACTTTGAGATGTGAGATTAAATTACCATTTTCACTTCTATAAACATACATTATTCATCTTCGGTCCAGTTTCAACAACTATCCCTTAAAACAACATTTAAAGACTTGATCTAGTTAAATGAACAGTTGACAAAAAAAAACAACATTCAAAATCCCCAAAATATAATTAATTTAAGATTTGCAAAGTCAAACTGTGGGATGAAATTTCTTTGTATGGTTAGATATATTTTGTGGATTCTTGATGCTAATTTTAGAGAAACTATTTTACCATCTTCCTCGTCTGAACTAAGATAAATGATATCATTCATGGTATAATTTTTTTTTTTCCAAAAATCGGTAACTCTAATGAAAATTCAAAGGAGAAGAGAGATATCAGAAGGATGTTTCCTGAGTCAACACTCAACTGAAATCTAGAGGGATTTGTTTTTTACTTTCACCTCAGAAAAAGGAGAACCGTTAAAGTCGCTAGAATAGCGCAGAAATAGAAAGACAACAAGGATTACAATTTGATATCGAAGAAAAAAACAATTAAAAAACATTAAAAGTTGTTAAACATTTTATTAATTAGGCCAGGCCCAAATCCTAACTAATCTCCTTAGATAAAAATTTCAAAACTTGATTTTGGATATTAAAGAGATCATAGGCAAAATTCCGGAGCTCTTAAAAAAATTGCAAAATTAGTAGGCTTGAGCACTATCTCCTTTTACAAGTAGCTCCGAGCAAGCGTAGAGACGGATACACTGATGATGTGTTATGAAGTTCTGTGGATGAGATTTTATCCTTTTTTAAACATTTTTTCAGATTTTAACAATAATGGTGAGGAATGAAATTTGTAAGTGTCATAACTTGATTAGATTGATATAAGAATGAGTGAGGAATTCTTATGCTTTGATATTTTCATATACTATTTTAGTAATGATTTTATCGAGCCTTAGCTTTATTAGTATTTTCATGTTCAAAAACTGTGGTGTATAGGGTTGTTATTGTCAAATTAGTTAATTGTTAGTATATTATTGTTAAATAGTGCAATCACATTAAAATTAAAACTGTTTTTAAGAATTTTTTCAAACTATACAAAGAAAAATAATTTAATGAATAGAAGACACAAAGAGGATACATGCTTATTAATCTAATTTTCAGTCTAAAGTTATGTTGTATATATATTGCTTAATTGTAATGTATATGAATTTTATGGTTGGACAGAATGTTTAGGTGTTGATATTTATTAGTGAATAAAGAGCTGTTTTTATTTACATATAAGAATGTTTATCAAATTCATATGTGTTTGCATTTTCAAATATTATATTTGTACAATTTAATAGGATATTTACGTTATTAGCGATTTCATGATATAGGTAGCTGAACTTAGGTAGTTGTTAATATATAACTCAAATAATGGAATGAAATAAGAGAATTTTTTTTAAAGAAAATTAATAACATATATGATCTTTATTTATTTATTTATTTTTAAAATATATCATAACGTGATTTTGAAAATATATAACTGTAGTATAGTTTGTTTTAGATAGAGTAGAAGCGTGGAAGGAAGAAAAATGACAAAAAGATCAGGGAATGAAGGATTATATGTCAAAAAAAGAAGATAGAAAGTCAACGATTACGATCTATGAGATATTTTTCAGGTTAAATAATTAGGGGATCCGAAAAAGATCTGTCGACGTGGACATCCTTGAAGAGAGCCAAACTGTGAAATCACTCGATGACGTGACAAAAGAAAATGTTTTTATTGGGTAATTATTTTGTCCGACGTGAACACTCTATCTAAGACTTATATCTTCATTTTAATACTTGTTTGATAAACTTTTTTTTCTAATTTATTCAATCTACAACAAGAAAAAATAAAACCAAAAAGGAAAATAACAAAACAAAAACAAAGAACGAAGGGTCTTGTTGTGGGTATTAATCGATTTTCACTGAGAAAAGATTCGAACATCACACGTGGGCTTGAGTCCATTAATCACATCACTTTGCTTCACATCTTCACAAGCAATAACAGTTGGTAAACGAATCCTAAACCCCAACCAATCAAAACCCAATTTCCCACTCAAACGCACATTAACCACAGCTTCAAGCTTCTTCTCTTTGTTTCTCAACAACGTAGCATCAACATCATAAACCTTCCCCTTTCTAAGTCTCGTGGCAATACTCAAATACGTAACGTTTCCAGGGCTTTGCACGAACCCAACAAGCTTCTTCTGTCCAAGGTTTATATTCTCAGAAGAGACAACAGCTTTCATGGGGCTGTAATAAAGAACCGACTTGTCGTCCTTATTAGACAGCTCAAGAACTGTCTTCATGTTCGCATTCAACAGAAGATCCTTCGTCGAATTAGCAAAATCTAACCTCGAGAATTTTAGGTTTGTAACGGAAACTTCAGGTAGTCTTGATTTAACCGAGGAGTTCACAGACAATCCTGTCAATAACAAGATTATAAGCACGATGGAAAGAAACATGCACGTGCATGCACAGCATTTTCTGAAACATCCAGGGCACTTTCTCTTCTCCTCACGATCCACAAAGGAACCTGAGTTTGTACTACGGTCTGTTTCTTCTTCCTCACGGAATCCAGGAAGCTTCAGAGATGATGTCTTTCTAGGGGTTTCGAACCCGTTTCTAGAGACGGAAGGGCTTGAGAACCTGGAGCTCAGGTCAAAAGAGCCTTTCCCGTGGCTGCTATCTTCTCCTTCTCTGTCTCCTTCTTGAACTCTCTCGAGGCCACGTTGCTTTGAAGCAAACTCAGGGAATACCAATGCGGGGTCACCGAATCCGGATGAAGCCCTCCTTTGAGGAGGAGGAAGATGCTCCGACATTGGTGCTTTGTTTTTTTGGATTTCATTAAAATTAGGTTTTTGTCTCCCCCTCTACTCAATGTCACAGAAAGGCTGGTTGGATAGATAACTTCAAGGGTTATTAATCTCTTAACGGTAGATTAAGGCTGTCTGGTCCCTAACAAATTTGTTTTGTTAATCTATTTATGGCTTGTTACATTAAGAAAAACAAAAGCCTATGACCTAAATTAGAAATTTCATGTACTAATCTTCCTAAATCAAGTTAAAAATAGCGAAGACGATTTGGTTTAGTGACTAAAACTTTTGAATTGTTTAATAAATATTTTGAATATCATTGGGTTCAACTTTTTTTTTTTCAAATGCGAGTTTAATTTTGATATACTAACCTACATATACGCATTAAAAACCATTCAATCTAGAAGTGAAAAACTCATTAATGAAAATTTATATTCTGTCTGTTTCATTATAACTATCATTTTAGAATTGTACACATAGATTAATAAATTAATTAATTTTACGTATTTTCTATATAAAACAAAATTACTTATACACCTAACCACATTTTAACCAACAAAAAAACAAAGTACATAATAAAGTTAATAAATTTTGCATTAAAACCGAAATTAACATTATTTTGTAACGAAAAAAATTCTCTACAACAACATTTAATATCAAACCGAGTAAATATTTTTAGTTAAGACATGAACCTTCTTTGATTTTTAGTTCGGTTTCGATTAGCTTTATTTAGATTTGGTAATTTGGTTCTTGACTTTAGGAACCAATCAGGTAATTAGAAAAAAAGATCAAATTAGTGTTATTGATTTTCTTAACTTTTTTAATATCATAATCAATATTATACAATAAACACACACTCCAAAAACAAATAATAAATCACGCATCAGAAGAAAAAATGAAAAAGGAGTAGCACACTACTACGCTACAGACGCACACCCAAGGAACAAAAAACGCAAAAGTAGTTGACCAAACGTTTCTTTTTACTTAAGAGATAGAGAATCTTCTTCTTCTTGGCTTAGTGATATCAACACCAGCAAGATCCTCATCAATGTTAGAAGTATCCTTAGACCCATGTCTAAACGGATTCAACTTCCCTAGCTTCTTCGAAACAGATGAGAAGAAAGTACTTTTACTACTCTTCTTATTGCTCGGCGCATTAGAAGAAGAAGCTCCCGCTGCACCACCATTCTTCTGTAGATCCGAAACATACATTTTCATCTTCATCAGCTCACTCCTCAAAGCTTCGTTCTCTTTAGCCAACGAAGCATCAGCTTTAACCTGTCCACGTGTGGCTACAGCCTCAGGAACTACAACTACAGCTCCTTCTTTATCTTCCACCCCGCTTCTCAGCTTTAACTGATCGTAGTAAAGCGCGTGAAGCACGATGTTCACTGGTAACCTCTTGTTCTGCGAAGCGTGGAGACGTGCCTCGTAAGAAAGCTTGAGAGGGTCCATTGAGCTACAGACTTTCTCTCTTTCGATCTCATCTAGGTTAGCATGAGCTTTCAAGAAGATGTCTATCGCTCTGTAAAGATCGTCGTCGGACTTTCTAGCAGATTTCGGGACGAGATTTGCGATAGCGTTGAACTTGGAGATCGTTAGCTCTCCGTAGCTAGCGATCTCTGCTAAGTAAGAGTCGACTGTTTTCGCTACTCTTTGGAGGGTAACAGAGGATAAACCTTTGTTGAAATCTCCCCCGTTGAATACTCCGACGCTCTTCTCCTTCTCTACGAAGGAGGAGATGATTCTTCTTACGCTGTCGAGATCCAATAGTCTTTCACCGTCGTAGGTGAAAGACGGGATCAAGAGATCGTCGATGGTGACGTGCTCGAGAACGACGGAGATTCGTTTCTCCAGCTCGTTCTTGGACGCGAGTGATGCGTCCAAGAAGACGGCGCAACGGAGGAGGGAACATAGGAAGTTGATAGGGAAGAGTCCTTTGTCTGAAGGTAAGAGGGAGATGATGGATTCCACGAGATCTCTCTGTTGAGATCTCTCCTCGGAGTCGTTGTTTTCGGGGTCCGAAAACTTGACTCCTCTACCGGAATGGTCTCTTACAAGATCTCTTAAAGATCTCTCGGTGTAAGTGATGATTGCTGAGGCTAGAGATGAAGGTTTGAGACCTCTCTGCTTCATGGAAGATATGACATCTCCAAAGAAGTCAATGTCTAAGATACAAAGCTCCTCTGTCCACCAGTTTGGTGGTGTTCGACAAGGAAACATCGCTTCGTTGCAAGCCTGTAATAAAAAAACGTATCATTAGTTAATGTAACAAGCACTACAAACCCTCATGGATTCAAAACTATAGATACTTGAGACTCAAGGAACTAAACAGAGTACATATGGAACATGTATACCTAAAAAATACTAACTACTATGTAATTAACCTAAACACTTATAAAACCATACTAACTACTAGATGAGGTTTACTTTGGTTATCATTACTAGTTAAACTTGAAAATAAATTAAACTATACACTAACCAAGATTTGGATCTAAACACTTATAAAGTAAGTGACGATGAGTTATGAGTTAAAAACCTTGGCACCAACGACGTCCACACAGCGGCGGACAATACCAATATCACGAGAAATAGGAAGAAGAATCTCGCAGGACTTGAGGACAACGACAGCTCCAGAGAGGCTAGACAAGGCGACCTGAGAAAGGAAGTCTTGTGTCCGACCAGCTAGGTTGTTGTCGCAGTACTTATCGGTCATCTGAAGAAACTCAGCGGCGCAATGAAGAGCCGCCACGTTCTGTACGGTAATCTCAAAGTTAACACCGTAACAGAACTTAGCAGCTTTCTCGAACATCTCAGGACCTCCAGGGATATCCGAGAGATTTATTCTCGTCACGTCACTGTCTTTTGATTCCATTATTAGCTTCCTTATGTAATTGCTCTTCGCCACTAGCATGAACTATATAGAATATCAAAGAAAATTACAAATAAATATTGTGTATAACCATTTTGGACCTAGATAAACCAAAATCATTAGTTCTTTTTTTTATATAGTAAAAATGATTTGTTGTTACCTTATGAAGAGAGAAATTAGCTTCTCCCACTTCAACTATAACATCTGTCGGAATATCTTGTGAGAAAACCCTGCATTAACACACATACATGTTAGAACTTTCATATATAATTAGGGATGAACCGGGTGGGATATTCTATAAGTTGATACAAGACCGGTTCGTACCATTGATTGGTTCTCTGAAGAGATGAAGACATTGAGTTCATGTTGATGGGTTTATTTGCTTCGGTCGCCATTGTTATTGGATGTGCAGTGAAGGAGACGATGGAGGTATAATTGGAGAGTGACTATATATTGAAAATTACACAACGTGGACCCATTCAATCCACCCAATTGCTATGTAATATTAATGTGTGCATTTGGCTTCTTGTGTTTTCTTTTTCTAATGTTTTCATTTTGTCGTTTCGTTATGTTGTATCATTGTTATTATCACTTTTAGCTAAATCATTCTGATCTTCCTGTTGGTCTTCGTCGGTCAGTTTCCTTTTCACAATTTTTATTTCTAACCTTTCCATACTTGGATACATATATTTGTAGTGACTTAAGATATTAGGGAATCAGGAATGTTTACCTTTCTTAAATGTACGTACGTTTTTCGAACCTATGATAATATGAAATAATTAACATCTATTATATTGCTACGAAATTTATGTCGAAATATTAATCTCGTTAAAAATTTGTTCCTACAACATGCTTATACGTGGAAGTTCACTATACCAATAACATTAGATGATATCATTTTTAAACGGTGGACATGAGGAATATTGTCAGAAAAAAAGTCATCAAAGTAAGCAACCTAGTGGCGACTAAACAGAAAAGTCGGGACAAAATGTGACAGACGATGAACGAATATAACATATCTCATAACTCGTAATTGTCATTTACACTTAATATTAGCCAATACTCTGCCTAAAAATAAGATCCAATCGTCATCTAGCATATAACCCGTTAACATTCATATGGTTTTGGCAGCAATTAGTAGAGTGAATCGATCAAAGATGCGAAACAAATCTTTTGGTTGGGTGATGAGCAAGTGATAGCCAATAAATAAAACAATTCACATGTAAAAAGCCTAAAAATTCTGAATTAAAGGAAGAAAATGCTGAATGTGTTAAAAAGCAAAGCATGTGAATCATTGACAGATAAGAAATCTAAAATAAAATTCAAATGATGTGGGAGCCATGGAAGTTAGGAAAAGAAGGAACATGTCATTGGATAAGGCCCACTCCGAATATGTGGTGATCCCTTCTTCATAAACCTCGTGGTGTTTGGCTTCGCTACGTCAACAAATCATCTCTCAGAATCCAGTTTCACCTTTTTCCTCCTATCATTTTTATACACGTATCCCTATCGTCTTTAAGATATCTCATATCTCTAGTTGCCCTAATAATTCTCTGCCGGTGAGACTAGTCTTTAAACTGTATGTAGATTGAATTTGAAGATTCATATCATGGTTCTACTTTAAAACCCTTTCTGATTTACGTGAGTTTTCTCTTTTAGCATAAACTTATGAATCAAGTTACGTTAAGAACACGATATGTGATTCAATGAGAATATCCAGCCTTCTGATTATTATTTTTCATTAAATAATCTAAGTATCATTACTTCTTTTTTAACACTAAAACAATATTCAGAACCTATAAAGCATATGTTATTCTCGCTATTTAAAACATTTATTATGGCTAACCATTGTTCAAATCACAATGAAATTAAGAACTCGAACATTGGTTTTGTAATCGTATGTGATTTCTTCAACCACTGACCTAAGGGTAAGTTGATGATGTTTTAACTATATTCTTATGCTTATCTATGTGTCAAAAGTATTCCTTATACTTCGTTGTAGTTTCAGATAGAATAATTAGTCAAGTTCTTAAGGTGGTAAGGCTGTATGTCTTCTTAGTATAAAGTATAATAAGATTATTCAATGAAGAATTCATCCTTTGAATTTTGTTGGACCATAGACGATAGTGTTATCATCTATTAACAAAGGTACAAACGCCATGAGCTGTAATGCCGTCTAGTCTCAATCAACAATTTAAACCATAATGGTTACATCTAAGGACTTACATTTTGGATTGCAGTTTCATTTTGGTTTGATTATAATTATATAGAAGAAAATCACAGAACATAACACAATACTATATTGTTTATGGATATGAAAATTTTAGATTTCCGAATTTTCGGGTTGGAACAAGTTCTAGATCAGATACTTGAAAATATTGTGGGTGGGGGCTACGTAATTATAAACAGCGGTCCCAACCTCACGACGGCTAAACACCAAGGAGACATTGACGTGAAACAAAGGCTAAGAAATAGATGCAACTAGAAAACAAAATGAATAGTTTGGGCCAAAGTTGGTTATTTGTCAAAAAGGCCCAATGTCTACGTCAATTTTCCTAATCACGCATCATCCAAATCATACACTAATGTCGTCTTCTTAGGTAAAGCCAGACGAGTTTAGAACATCTCGCTTTCAGTTGAGTAATCTCTTATCCGTTATCTCTGGTTCGGGTCATTGCATGGATTCATATAGAGTCAACGGCACCAAACTACGGATATTGTCATTCGAAACTCTCTTGATGGATTTGACCAAATAAAAAAAATAATCAACTTAGGAGCTTTGGTGAACATAATGAGATTAGCCTACAAACAAAATTAGTTATTGCAAAGCCCATTTGATTCCACGAAAGCCCACTAATACATGCACACGAACACTAGAGTTAAATTCTCAAGTGTAGTCACAAATGAATCTCTTTTTACGCTACTACTTAGCAGCATCCATTGGCAGCGATGTTGTGGTGAACTGTTCTCTGTAGTTTGTTTCTTTTAATTGTCGATACTAATCGTTGCATATAAGTTTAGATGGACTGATAAGTGATAACGTTTGACACTTTATCTTGGGGTTTCAAAACCTGATCTTGATACATTTCTTTTAAGCTTATTTATTATGAAAAGATAATACAGATGACTGCACCCAGTGGCGGCCCTGGGCACAAGCAAAGGAAGCATTGGCTTCCGGCCGCCACAGTAATAAATATTTTAGCGGCCATAAATAATTACATTTGCAACTTTAGCCTAGTGGTCTTGAGTGTGATGTCATTTGTTAAAGTGCAGGGTTCAACCCCATGCTGTACACATTTTATTTTCGGCCTTTTTTTCAATTTTTGCTTCTAGCTTTTAAATTTACAGGACCGGTACTGACTGCACCACCGTAATCTGCTTGCTTCCTAATATAGAAGCACGGTCGACCCTGAGATTTTGGGATCCTAGACGATTTATAAAATATTAGAGCTAAATTTTTTCTTTCTATAAATTTGGAGACCTAAAAAAAGCTTTTTTTTTTGGAATCTTTCTATGTAATTTTTTTAAAAAAATTTTGGGGGTCTAAGACAAATATTTTGTTAGGCTTGGCTCAGGAATAGAAGTAGTCGAATAACATCAGCTCACAATGCAAGATGTGGTCTACTTTGATGAGAAGACTGAGGAAGTAACTGAGGTATATATCCCATAAACGTTACTTCAGTGTCTTATTTATCAGATGTCTCCCATACTCCTCTAAACCCACAAGTCTTGGAGTTCAAGTGAGACACAACAAGTCGATTTATTCTGGTCTTGTAGTGAATCAGACAACAAGACAAATCGTGGTCTGTAATCGCTCTGTAAAAATATGTATACACTTTGTATTCTCTTTTAGGGGTGGGGTCTTAAGTATTTAGATCATTAGCTGTGATCTGTGAATATTACCCCTTAACTATATTTAATAAAAATGTTATATCTTTTTACTTCCCAGAAATATTACAATACAAGCTTAAACTAGTCAATTATTATAGGATCACTTTAATGAAATTACAAACAAACAATATTTATAAAGAACATACAAAGGTTGCATTCTTGCATCTGGATCGGCTATAAGATTGTGTTTTAGGGTGTTTCTTATTGAATTATATGCATAGTTTAGAAAGTTAGGACGCCTTTTTCAACATAGATTGGCTTGAAATGGCTTAACGAGCGGAACCAGCGAGCCGCTTAGGTGCATCGACATGACTTCATTGGTCGAACCCACGAGCTTCCCATCCACAAAGATGGCTGGGACCGGTGAGGAGCATCCGAGCCTCATTAGGGCTTTCTCGATGTCACGACAATCAGGATCCTTGTCGATCTCATGGACGGTCGGGTGGACCCCGAGGTCTTGGAAGAGGACTTGGACCGCATAGGACATGCAACACGAGCTCTTGCTGAATATCACCACTCCTTTCTCTGAAGACATTCTCACAACTTTGTCCATGGTTTCTTAAAGGAAGTTCAATCAATCTACAGTTTGTTTCTTGGAGAAGAAGAAACAAAACTGTCCTCTGTTTCTCTCTTGTAGATTGATTTATAAGTGAAGGGAAGAGTGTTTGTTGTTGTTGTTGACTTATTCTAGAGTATTGAGCTTAGTGTTGCCTGAGACTTGAGTTTCTTGAATGATAGGCTATTTATAACAAAACAAAGGAAGAAGAAAAGAATATTGAGACCAAAAAGAGATTACAGAAGATCGTACATATTGTTCCTCAAGTTCATCAAAGCGACTTTAGTATAAACCAAATTAATATTTTTGTTGTTTTTTAAATTTGGAATTAGCAAGGAGGGACCAACAAAAGTTGCACATAATCAAAATTCACCTACCCTTTTTTCCTCCTAGATACCAAGATGAGCATTTAGATAAAACATATACTTCGTTTGTTGCAGATATGCTAAAGAATATGGCACATGTGCTATATATTTATTTACAAGTTCTTTTATGCCAGAGAATTAGAATTTTATATTTTATGTGGACCAAGCTTTTACTTTTTCTTTATCTAAGAATATTATTTTGTTTCAAGAATCATGCTCAGACGATGAAGGGTGTGAGATAGCGCAAGGTGGTGGCGAATAAGCGAAGAGATATGCTTATATTCTTCTACGGATTGATCGGATCGGATCGTGTCAACTATAAAAACATAATTCTTCGTGAAACATATGTCACTATACAATAAGATATGGTTTTGGTTGGAGATTCTCTCAATCACACTTCACTAGTGATCGTGAAGGAATAAAAATTCATATGGGTTTTGCTTGCCACTTCCTTGTCAGTAATTTGCCGAGATTCTTACCCCTCATTTAATCAAACGTATATCAATGAATGTTTATAGCTAGATGAAATCTACGTTCCATGGAAGCTTCATCGGACGTGCGCTTCCCATTGAAACCAAAATCGGAATCAAAACCATGTGGAAGCTTGCGGAATCTCGATTCCAAAACGCTTCTAAAATATCCTATATAAAAACATGTTGGAAGCTAATTCCACTTTAAAATCATGTTTCCAATTTTGAAAGCCCAATACCATATATAAATAAATAAAATATAAAATCATTTTTATGTTTAATATAATAGTGTATATAGTGAGAATATATATATATATATATGTGTGTGTAAATACTAATATTAATACTATAAATCATATGTATGTACTGTTTTTATTAGGTATATATATATATATATATGTTCAAATATGATATGCCAATTATTTATAAAATATAAAAAATTAAATAATTGGTAATATTTGTTTATAAATTTAATTTATCTGTATTTTCATAGTTGTAATATGCAATCATTTGAAATTATGATAAATGAATAAATGTTTTATTTTAAATTAGAATGATAGAATTCTTAGTTATAAATTTTATAAATTTTTCTTTTATATATATATATATATGTATATTTGGATATACGCTTCCAACACGTATTCACTTCCTATTTTTTCTAAAAAATTCGATTATGCGTTTTCATACGATTCCACTTCCGTGTTTCCGCTTCTGTTTCCATGTAACATAGGCTACTATTAATGTCGAGTTACACTACTATAATACTATTGATGTGGCTTTACTATTAATTAACTTGCATATACTTTAATGGCAAAATAAAGGTAACATGCAAAAGGGAGAGATATGTTGTGTCGTGTGGGAGAGACCCAGCGTTAGTGAATAAAGCATCAGTTTCTGAAAGATCACCTCTTGGTTCCACAGTTTTGGAGTCAAGAAGCTCGAGAAGATTCTTGTTTCATCATATTATATAAGTAGTTTTGTTTTGTCTTTTTTGTTTCAATAATATCTAAGTTTTTTCTGATATTTACTTAGAGAATTTCATTTACTATAATATTTTTATTTCTTGTAGGTTTTATTATAACAAATAAAAGATGAGTTTCTTAAATGTATTAGGTGTTGATTCTACAGATTGTGAAACATTGAAACATGTACACATGAAACTAGTTTTCATATGGGTGTTTGCTTACATATCAAGTAACCAGAAGAACATTGTTTGATTCATGTCCTCACATGAAAATGGAAAAGGAGAGAGATGAACACTGATGAAGAACATATAGTTCATGTTCAAAGTGAAAGACCAGACTCTTCATCCTCGTCAAGAGATGAAGTGTAGGTAAAGTAGAAAGTCCAGATCAAACCAAACACTCCCAAAAGAATCCAACCCAAGAGGTTGTTGCTCAGACCAAAGGGTAGTCCTGTTCCCTCCGTTGACATCCTGTCATCCACCAAAGCCATAGCCGGGCTGCTCATCACAGCCGTCAAAGCTGCTGTAGCCGCCGCAGAAACTCCAGCTCCAACGGCTGATACGTTTCCTTGCTTGGTCTCCATCGAGCATCTAACTCCTCCCTTGCTCTTACTCATTGGAGGCAAACCTGAACAGTAAATAATACCAAAAAAAAATTACAACTCTAAAATCTTTAGATCAAAATGGTTGATTCTCCACCTAACTACTACAGTTCAATATATAACCAACCAAAAGATTTTCTCTTTGCATGTGACCAGATTGATGAGTTTCTACTAGTAAAACATGAGATCTAAGATATAATGTAAGAAGAAGGGGAAGAGACAAAGGGAAAGGTCTTTACCAAGAACAGGAGCAGAGACGGCGACGGTGGGCTTGAGAAGGAGAGCAGGGCGAGCGACGGAGACGGTGGAAGCGGAGGCAGTGAAGCTAGCCATTTCTCTCTATCTCACTTTTCTGGTTACACAACCTCTAATTGTTTTGCTTGTGTTGGCTTTTTGAATGGGTAACGATTAAATGACTGGTGGAGAAGAATCTCTCCTAACCAATACAAGCCATTTAACTTGGATATGCTTCTATCCATTCTCCACCAATAGCCTCACTCCACGTGTCATATTTCATATATATATATATATTTATTTTTTATATCTTAGTGTGGGTTATACATAGGCCTGTTCAATCTGGTGTTCGGTCCAGTTTCGATTCGATTTTTTTAGGTTTTTGGTTATTCGGTTTATAAAAATTAGCTACCATATTAGAATCATATTTAATTTGGTTTGGTTCGGTATTTATACTACCGGTTTCGATTTATTCGGTTTTATACCAAATAACATTATTATTTGATTTGGTTTCATATTATATGAATTAAAAAAAAAACATATTGTCAAAACTATCATTTATTAAAATAATCCTAGGTGTTCATAAATATAAAAATGTGAAATTAACAACAAACAAAACGACCAACGATTTAGTTTTGTACAATTTTTCTTATTTTCTCTTTGTTCTTCCAAATAAATTACATGGTACAATCTAATTGCACAATTTCTTACAACATGCAAAATCAAATCAAATTTAGATAATAATTGAAGAAAATAAAATAAAATTATTAAGATATATCTTCACAAGGAATAAAAAAAATAAAAAAGACTATTCTAAGAAAATAAATGGTTATATAACGTATATATTTATATATTTGTTCTTTGATCGGTTTTGTTTGGTTTATTCGGTTTAATCGGTTATAAACCTAACCATATCTAAATCCTACGGTTTTTATAAAATCATATCTATTCGTTTTATATGGTATATACCAAATCCAACCATATTGTCTATTTCGGTTCGGTTCGGTACGGTTTGGTATTACCATATTGAACAGCCCTAACTTATACATAAGTTTATAATAAAATTGCATCTGAATTTCATGTAACAACACTGTGTTGATGTTAACTAAATCTGACATTAGCTCATTAAAAGTTGGTTGCAACATTATAAGTATGGATCTTTTACAAAAAAAAAAAAAAACATTTTAAGTATGGATGATGGTAAGCTATATGTATATTCCAGACTTCCGATACCGATTACCGCTTGTATACCGATGTCCAGCCATGGCTCCATGCTCCTTCGTAGTGTATACTAATGTCTGCTTTGATTCCTGACACGTAATCCAACCCAACCACACTCCACCTCTTCTCCAATGGCTACATTTATTTACCCCACGAAAGTCAACTACCTATTGACGTGTTCCCCCCCTTTCCACAAATGTTTTTTTAGCCCCTTTATTGATTCTTGTTCACATAAACCTGCGACATGGTATAAACTCAAACAATGTGCACAAAAAAAGGTAAACTCAAACAAAAGTAGAACAAGAAAAAATGTTCAAATTCTTGGTGGATTATGTTCAAAACTTCAAATACAAAGCAAGGACTAGAGAAGCCTTTGACTGATGAAAACAAAAGGTATGTGGGTGTTTTCCGACCAGTAAATTCCAAAGAAATACAATCAGTTTTCAGCTGAAGAATAAAGTTGCTATTATCTTGAACAAAAAAAAAGTTGCTATTGTCAAGGATCCAAATACAAGACGCAGAGTACAACTGATACTTTTAAGTGTTCTCATTAAAAATACAGTGGATACGGGAATTGTCAGTATTAAAACTCTACCACCACAAGGAGACTACAACTGATGTTATAGGGCCACTTGTGGGTACTCTTGTCTTGTGTAGGCATCCCAGGGCCGTCTTTTTGCACGAGCAAGTGGAGCGACCGAACAGGGTCCAAAATTTTAGAGGGCCCATAAAATATATTTTTTTAGTAATAGTTAACAATATAAAATAATATATTTGTAAAAGATATTCAGATATCTATTTTAAATTTAATTTTCGTATTACTAACAAAAAAAATTATAATTACAAATTTGATTTTGTTTACATAATTAACAAAAAAATGCAATAAATTAGGAAGTAATTAGCATTTATACCAATTATATACTATTTTGGTAAGTAAAAAATAGCTGTTAGTTTTTGCTTTAACATTCAATGTAAGTTTAGAAAGTTCATATTCTAAATTATTATGTTTAGGAAACTATTATAAATTAGTGATTATATATAAGGAGAGAAATATATTTACTACTTCATCAACTTTTACAAAAAAAATAGCAAAGGAGAGCACTAGTCCACAAATTTTACTGCTTCCAACGAGAAGAAAAGAAGAGTACAGCTTGCAAATCAAAGAGTTCATAGTTTTTTTTTTCCAACCATTATCCAGGTTCTATTGTTCAATTATTTTATAGATTACGACTCCTGGTTGTGGATACAAAAAAACGTCAAAAGGAAAAAAAAACTGAAAAATTCATAGAATCTCAAAGAGGTGCTTTTCATAAGTTTAATTAAGAAACCAAAAGATGTTTCTTCCTCTCAAAACAATGAATATGAAAATATAGAAGATATGAATAAAAATGATGATAGTGTTGATGCTTGTAAGCCTAGAGATAATAATAACTGTGATGATGCTTGTGAGAATGATCTTAAAAACGCTGATTGTTTGAATTTAGATGATGATGATTTACTGTATATATTTTATATTATGACAAAAGTTTATTAAAAAAACATATAATTATTTTCAGATTATTAAAAAATGATCTTTTTTTTGAACAGGGTCTCTATAAAGTTTGAGACGGCCCTCAGGCATCCCATGCTATATGGCCTAGATGGAGACATGGTTAACAACAATGGTGTTTTTACTTTGAAGGTTGGTGAGCAGAAATGAGCTTCCAAGCTGTTGACACAAAGAAAAGACATGAGCTGTTATTGAAAGTATTAATATACTTGCAAGATGATGATCTTCGATTCGGGAATTACAAAGAAAAGGCAATTCAAAAAGAAAACGAGTTGATCACTGAAAGATTATTACAATTAGCATTACCTTCTTTTTAATATGCGTTTATATGTTTTTGGTCCATATCCTTATTTTATAATTTTTTTTCTAGAAAAACTGCATGATCCATAAGGTGACCTGGCCTTGTAAAAATTTAAATCAACTCGAAATCTGATGAATAAATGGCATTGCCGGAAGCTAAGCAAAAAGGCATGATTAATTGTCTTTTCTCGAATTTGTAACGTGTGTATATCCAGCTGTACAAATCCATTTTAAAGATGGCTAATTATGCTACGTTTTAGTGACTCTAAATTTTAAGCTTGTTTTTGTTAATAGAAAGAACTTTGGATCATATCTTTTTTTTTTTTTTTTTTTGCTCAACATCAACTTTGATTAAAAACTCTCAAAAGGTTCTTACACAAGGTTTTTCAGTCTCCACAATAGACTTTAACCAACTTGGCACCATAGAATATAACTTGGGAACATGATTCGTATATGAAAAAGCTTCCTTTGCTATCCTATCAGCTGCCTTATTTCCTTCCCTTGGATGATAGACCAACACATAGTCTTTGGCTCTCTTCAAGGTTTGGGTGATATCCTGAATAATGGGCAGTATTCTCGGCCATAATACTTCTTCACCTTTAAGCATTTTGATCAACAATTGTGAATCAGATTCCACCACTACCTGTTGATATCCAAATCCCACCAGCGAGGTTACTGCCCATCTCAATGCTTCAGTTTCAGCTTCAATCACAGACCCTATCCCTTGAATTTTCCTAGCCCCTGCCCAAAGCAACCGGCCCTCACAATCTCTACTTATCCAGCCAAGACCTGCTCCGTCCTCCTTATCGATCCAGGAGGCATCCACATTGCACTTGATCCACTGATTTCTTGGTGGTCTCCATACTTTTGGACCGGAAGCATTTGTCGGTTGCTTAGCCTCATTAGATTTCACCGTTCTTCTGTTATGCCACTCCCTCGCGTCTTCCACTGCTTTCCTTATAGTGCTATCTCCATCATAATGCTTTCCTTTGAACATTAACTCGTTTCTATTCTTCCATAACCTCCAAAGAATCCAAGGGCCTATGTGTAGCTGCTCCTCCCCCAAACTTCCATCTTGTGGATTACATAGGACATGGTATAAATTAGAGAGAAAGGAGTTAGCCATTACTCCACCTTTGGGGTTCTTTATTGGCGATAGAGCCCAAACAAGTCTCGCATACGGGCACTGGAAAAGCAGGTGGTTGACTGATTCTGTACCATATTCACAACGGTAGCACCGTGCGTCCTTTGCTAAGTGTCTTTGAGTCAAGTTCTCAGCCGATGGTATGGAGTTACTTAAGCACTTCCACATAAAGTGTTGTACCTTCGGACTTGTGTTTGTCTTCCATATCATCTGGTACAAGCTATCTAAGCTTGGCTGGGAGGCTTGCTCTTGTGACAAACCCCCTTCCAAGACATTCTTTTGAACCCAATAGCCTGACTTAACACTATAGAGGCCCGATTTAGTATACTCCCACCCGTAAACATCCTCACTGTTCCTCCCTCCCGGTCTGATCTTTTCAATTCTTACAACCTCCTCTGGTGGAAACAAACCTTGTAGCCTAGGCCTATTCCAATCCCTTGTGCCCTCGATCAGTAGCTCAGCAACCTTCATATCAGTGGTCAGATTACTCTGTGTTGGGTTCAGCGTGGTACAGATTATACCGCGGGAGGGTTTCCTCTCTATCCAGCGTTCCTGCCATATATTAGTTGACTGTCCGTTCCCGATAATAACTCTTACTCCCTGACCCATTAGTCGCTGAGCTGAATGGATACTTCTCCAAGCATAGGAGGGCCTTGATCCAAGAGTGGCTGAGAAAGGGTCTGCCTCTGAGAAATATCGTGCTTTATAGATTCTGGCCATTAGAGATTCCTTATATGTAGCCATCCTCCACAGCTGCTTCCCCAATAGAGCCAGATTAAAAGCCTCCAGATCTCGAAAGCCAAGACCTCCACAAGCCTTCGGTTTAGTTAACTGATCCCAGCTCTTCCAATGCATTCCGCGGCTTTCTTGCTTGTTCCTCCACCAAAAGTCTGCCAAAACCGCAATGATTTTCCTACATAAGGTTTTAGGGAGCAGAAAACAACTCAT